GTATTTTTATGTCTAGAACGCCAAGTTTGTAATTGTACTATTTAAAAGTGGTTACCTACTCGAACTTCTATTAGTCCCATCTAATAACGCAAATTACATTATGTCTTAGTTTCATCCATTCCTTACACAACTTATTTCTTTGTCAAGACAATTTAAAAGACCATCACTTGCTAAGATTAAATAGCATTCTTCTTTGACACGTATGACATAAGTCACTTCCAGATCAAGATCATCGATGGTTTTACGTACATATATTGACTGTTTGGTACAGGGTATATTCTCAGGGAACTATTAAAAGAACCAAAACCACTGAATATCTTCTCGAGAAAAATGAATCACTGCCGATAAAAAACACAAGCCTTTTTCCACTGGATTACTTTCCAACCTACTGCTCCTATACTCGCCACTATCGTTTCTATCCTAAGTAGATCCAAACGCTATAATTATGAACATATATACGTAGTCCAGAATCACACATATACAAAAAGGTATAAACTCATATGTTAACAGAGTTATCCCTAATATATTAAAAGAGAAAACACTAACTAAATAACCTTTGTCTAATGTGTTATTAACAAGAATGCCATTGCTTAGGTGTCATCACTAGGTTCACTCTTAGAGCAATTTCTAATTAAGACAACTTTACTAGACAAATTACAATATATGCCATTGCATATTATGCTTACAACCAAATAATGAAATTAAATTTATCATTCTCTTTCCTTAATTGGCAACTACGAAAATTAGTAAATAAGGAAGATATGAGATTAATTTAATTCCATCATAATAATTTCTTTTAAAATCAGTATATATCTTCTATCATCTTTGTTTAAATTTATTTAATAAAATAATTTGAATCACAATATAAAAAATCTATCAAAAAAATCTAAAATTTTTCTGTACATGTTATGATTTGAATTTTTAAAAACAAAATAATATAAATTGTTTCGTATATAACCTCATTTAGTATGTATCCAAAGGTATTTTTTTTAATTTCATTTAATATGGTTTTTTAATTAAAATCTATAATTAAATCGAATAATTAAAATCTTTTATAAATATTTTATGAGAAATTTTAAGAAATACACCTCTTGAGGTGCAAATTTTCAAAACTATACCTATAGTGTGAAAATTTTCAAAACTACATTTTTTCCTAATTTAATATATATGTTTGGGTTCACTAATCCTATATTAGGGTTTAGATTTTGGGGTTTAGGGTTTAGATTTAAAGGTTCAAGGTTAAATTTTAGGGTTTAGGGTTTATATTTCAGAGTTTAGAGTTCTTTTACTCAATGAAAAAAGTGTAGTTTTTAAAATAGACACCATAGAGGTGTATTTTTGAAAATTGGCACCTCAAGAGGTGTAGTTTTGAAATTTCCCCTTTTTTATTTTGATTAAACTTTTGAATATTACTCTATCTGTTTCAACTTTCTATACAAAATTAATTATATTTTTGCTGTTTGACAATTTAGATTCTGCATATTATTTTCTGATTGGTTGGATTGTTTTGAAATTATAATAAAGCATGTTTTAGTTTTGAAAGAAAGAAAAAAATTAGTTCTAATCCGTTCCACACAGCTAAAACTTTTTATCTTATGAAATACATGATGTATAATTTTTCTAAAGAATAATGTTTTATTTTCAATTTTTTTCTTTAAACTATCTTATTATATTATAGTTATTTGAGTTTTATGTATCTCGGTTAAATCTATCATATTTAATCTGTGGTTACGATCAATGTTTTAATTTATTTCTTTTTTTAAAATGGATTAAAATGCCTAATTTCCATACTATAAACGAATAACAAAGATTAAAAATCTCTCGCATAAAATGTCGAAATATTTAAATAAATATTTTTTAATAAAAATACAATTTCAGAAACTATCATCCCATGTAGGGCACGGGTCAAACCCTAGTTATTTTGTTAAAATAAAGGATTAGTGATTGTATTATCATTGTTTATGTAGTTTTCCCTCGGCCTCTAATAGCTTGCTTCCACCTCTTAATCTTCAAAGCTATACAGGTTTCTATGCGTAGTCCATCTTCTGACAGCATCATAATTGTAAATTAAGACGCTTGCTAGTTGAACATATATAATTTGAGGGGAAATATTATAAGAAGGTCCTTCAACAACAACAAATAAAAAAAATAAAAAATAATAATAATCTACATAACTAATAAGGCTTGAACAATCTCCAGCCTTTGACACGTGGCATTCTCCTTTTTTTTTTTTCGCCTAACACCAAAACGACGTCGTTTTGGGCTTTTTTTTTTGTCTTACACCAAAACGACGTCGTTTTGCGCTTTATCTTTTTTTTTTTCGTCTTACACCAAAACGACGTCGTTTTCGTAAAAAAAAAAAAAAAAATCTACATAACTAATAAAGCTTGGACAATCTCCAGCCTTTGACACGTGGCACTCTCCTTTTTTTTTTCGCCTAACACCAAAACAACGTCGTTTTGGGCTTTATTTTTTTTATTTTTCGTCTTACACCAAAACGACGTCGTTTTGCGTTTTATTTTTTTTTTTTCGTCTTACACCAAAACGACATCTAAATCAAAATTATGTGTAATGCTGTTCGTTTTGATGGGCTTGATTATTTATCGGACCTCTTCGTTTCCATGGTAGCTTTAAATGGGCTTACTGGCTAATTAGCTCATTTCATTTCCTTTTAAAAAGGATTGCAATTATTATTATCTATGAGTCTGTAGGATAATAATCAATCTATAATGATTGTTAGTATAAGGAAAATTAGAAGAACTCAACTCCAGTCGATAAATTATTGTATAAAAGAACAAAAAACATATGAAACTATTCACTATGAGTCTATATAAGATTTCACGTAAATAACAACTAAATTTTAAAACTATATGAAAAAAAACAAAATGCAAAACTTACAGAATCTAATATATTCGAGTAAAAAACAAATGATATATTCGAATCTAATGTTCTGAATAATTAAATTAAAAATATTTGGTTTAATAAACCCGCGCATTGCGCGGGTTCTCTCCTAGTAATAATAAATAAAGCATGAATCATGAATAAACGTTAACAGTTGTCACATGTATTCACGGGAGAGATGGCGCATAAACAATTGTGGTTAAAGAATCAGTGATAGTTTGAAGCCTAAGCATACTGAAATCGAAGAAAATCTTTTGTGTGCCACTTGACATCTTTTATGGATGCATGGCTTAACGAATGACATCTTTTAAATATTATAAACATGTGATGATTTCTAGAGATTGATGACCTATAAACAGAAAAAATAAACCTGGAAAATGCAACAAAAAAGATTTTGAACCAAAATTTGAAGAACAAACAAAACAGATGTCAGAATAACTACCTTAGTCGTTAAGCCAAACTGATGGTTCTTTTGTTTTCTTTTTCTCTATTCTCAATTTTCGCATATTCTTTCAACATCCTCTCCACCAAGCCACCAACTCAATCATTCCCAAAACAATCCATATGGAGTCTGGAAAAAAGGGAAAAAAGAGAGAAGAATTCCTGCAATTACGGAAGTAAGTATCCGACCAAAACAAAACAGAGCAAAGACATTCAAAATAAATGGATTCCAGACTTTGAGAAAAAGAAAGACTTTTACGGAGAATCAGTTTACGGAAACACAATCTTAGCCAAGTGAAGAAGAGACTACAAACAGAAACCACTCAATAACGAAATTGAACCTCATAAACAAATCAATTATCAAACACAAAGCTCCATAGTGAATTAATTAGCAGTTTGTGGCCTCTTCCATCAACCACTTCATGTCACAAAACCAAATAATGAAATCAATAGTCCAACACGTACAGATCTGAAAGAGTGTAACAATAAACAAATTTGGCTTCTTGATCCGATCACATACATCTCTTGTGAGGAATATATTGTTTGCTTCGTTATGGCTGTGATGAAGCTTGTTGGCTAAGAAGAAGAACAACGTGGTCGACTTTGTATATAGACTTAGGTTTTGCCAATTTATATAGAGATAAGTGAATTTAGGGTTTTCAATTATTTTTGGGAGATCAAAAAATCGATAAAAAAGGAAGATATCCATAAATAATATATAGAAAATTTGAAGATTTATTCAAGATTTTCATTAAGGGTAGTTCTGTAATTCCGAGTCTGAGAGTTAACATGGTGCCTCCATTCGAAATTCTGACTTCGCAAATCGTAGTATGATTAGAAATGTTTGTAAATTGAGAAAAATCAAAATATTTAAGATTTTTGTATTATTAATGTTTTATATAATTATAATATTTAAAATATATTAAAAAAAACCTAAAATTTTCACCCCGGTTAATCCACAAATTATTAGCGATTTTTGAAAAAACCGCTTATCGTTACCCGACCGACCGATCGGTAAGCGAAAAGCGACATTTTGAACATAACTATTACTAATACAATATCTATATTCAAATAAAGATACATGTAATCAAAAGATTAATCAAACTTGAATCCTTGAATCCGCTCAAATTAAGAAAAGGCTCAGCATTATAATAATCCCATGTGAGAAACCTGAATCTCGAATATCTGGCCACCATAGTTTCTCGAATTGGCATTAGCTCCGTTGTCGAGAAACAATCCAACGACCTAATACGATAGACAGAAAAAATCAATTTGAAAATCAGAGAAAATGAAGATTTCATAAAACATGAATTACAAATAGAAAGGAAACCTCGTTATGGCTTTTAGCGGCGGCGAAATGCAACAGAGAAGCTTGGCGAGGCAAGGATTGCAGTCGAGAAACATTTTTGCCTCCACGAAATCACCATCATCGCTCGCTGCCGCCGACACCATTCTCTCGCCAGACGCCATACATGATACATCCAAACCAATTCGCCATTTTTTTCCTCTCTCTCTCTTCTTCTGATGAGAATCATAATCCTTTTTGTCTTGTTTCTCTATCTCAAAATCAATTAAGTGTGACAAAAATTAGGCCAATGTGGGAAGATAAAGAGGAAAGAATCTGGAATTAGATATTAAAGATTATAGCCATTGATCAGATGAGAGGTCCAAGTTTATGGAGACTTCAAGGAAGTATGAAGGAGCTGGGTTTAGCTCAAGCACGGCTTTGTCTCACATCGAGACTCAGTTGTAAGTCAGATCACTATACGTGTCTCTCTCTCATAGGTTGGGGCGTGTCATTAGGCACATGATGAATTGGGCTTATCCATAAGTTGTTTGGATATAGTCACAAGTGTATTCTCTTCTTTGAAGTGGTTAAGCCGTTGTAACGGGGAAATCGGGATTAGAGAAGAGAGAGAGAGAGACGCCAAATTTGTAAATCGGATAACGGTGAAGCTCGCCGATTATAGTGATTGCCGGTGAAACTCCGTGCTCCAGGGGAGTAGGAAACGAACCCCTGGGTAACTAAATCCTTGTGTGCTCCTCTTTTACTTTTCTTGCTTTTACTTCTTCTGTTTCAATCAATCGAGTGAGGACGAGAGTTTGTTCTTGAGAGATCTAGAGAGTTAGATCGCACAAATTGGTATCAGAGCCAGGTTTGGCTTCGATTGGATTGATACAAGATGGCGACGTCGCGAGCGGAGATCCCTCAGTTCGATGGATCGGGCGATTTCACGATTTGGAAGAGAGGATGTTAGCGAACATCACAGTTCAAGGATTGAAGGATCTTCTCACCGAGAAGGAGGAAGTCACGATGACGGAACAACAGATCCTTGAAGAAACAGCTGCAGCCAGGAAGAAGAGGCTCGATGATGAAGCCGAGTGGCTGGAACGAGATGACAAGGCGCTTAACTTGATCATCATGTACGTTGGGGATCGCGTTCTCAGGAAGCTTGACAAGTGCAAGACTGCAGCTCAAGCGTGGGAGACGCTCGACAGACTCTACATGGTGAAGACCTTGCCGAATCGTGTTCATGCGCAGCTCCATGTCTACTCGTACAAGATGATGGATTCGTTGAGCATTGATCAGAATGTGGATGTATTCCTGAAGCTGATTGCGGATCTAAGCAATCTAAGCATCGACATTCCAGATGAGGTACAAGCTATCTTACTCCTTAATGCTCTTCCTGCTAGATTCGATTCCTTGAAAGAAACTTTGAAATATGGTCGAAACTCAATAAAATCTGCTAAGTCTAAAGAACGTGAATATAATGACTCTGCTGGTCTTAAGACCATCGGAGAAGGGAATTTTGTTAGAGGTAGACCGGAATCTAGGGGCACTAACAATGCAGGTAAATTCAACAAGCAACGCTCAAGATCTAAGTCCAAGGATGGCAAGAGAGTGTGTTGGATATGCGGAAAGGAAGGTCACTTCAAGAAACAGTGCTACAAGTGGTTAGAGAGAAACAAAGGCAAGGGTCGTTCATCAGAAAATGGAGAATCAAGTCTAGCGAGAGATGATGCAGTTGATTTGTTGGGGCTCTTAGTAGCAGAGCTTCTAGGGATAGAACTAGAGATACGTTGATTCCGCAGATTACCGGATAACTAGGGTTTGAGAGTCCTCCTCTCAGGGCTTTCGCAAAAGCTCTTGTTTGTGAATACTCTTCACAGTGGTATATCAAAACCTCTTCAGGAAATCTCCTTTTTATTAATTAATCAAAGTCTGAATACAACTTTAAGCCTAGACGGCTATATATAAGAAAAGCTCTAAAACCATAAAACCCTAATTATAATTAAAATAGAAATAATACATATTTATCTAAATACAGAAAATATAGATATTTAAGATATTTGGAGATATTCCAAATATCACGCTGCATCAAGAGGTCAATCTTTCAAGAGCAGAGGCAGATCAGGAAGAATGGATTCTTGACACAGGTTGCTCGTTTCACATGACGCCGAGAAGAGATGTGTTTCTGGACTTCCGTGAGATGTCAAGTGGCAGGGTCAGTATGGCAAACAGCACAGTCTCAGATGTCAAGGGAATTGGGTCAGTAAGATTCAGCTATGCCTAGTCTGCTGGGTTGAGAAGATTTGGATGTTTGGCTTATGTTCATACCAGCGATGGTAAGCTGAATCCAAGAGCGAAGAAAGGCGTTTTCACAGACTACCCTGAAGGAGTGAAAGGTTTCAAAGTTTGGCTCCTAGAAGATCAGAAAGTGGTCATCAGTAGAAATGTTGTTTTCAGAGAGGATAAGGTCTTCAAGGAGATAGGTACAGATTCAAACTCAAAGGAAGATCAAGATTATCAGTCAAGGGCCATCAGTGTTGACTTTCCAGAACCAGAATCAGGTCGAGATACAGCTCAAGGTGGAGAAATTCCGATAGCTGAGCAAGACAACAACAACAACACTCATGGTGCAGAAGATAACAATGCAGAGCCAGAGGTATTTGAATTGAACAACTATCAGTTAGCGAGAGATCGACCGAGGAGAGAAACAAAACTTCCAGCAAGACTCGAAGATTATGAGTGTGACGAACGAGATGGTGAAGATTTCTTTGCTGGGTTTGTTTGCTATCTGTCAGAAGATGCAGGAACAGAGCCTGCAACATTTGAAGAAGCAATGAGAGATTCAGATAGTGACAAGTGGACTGAAGCGTCAAAAGAAGAGATGACTTCTCTATTGAAGAATTGCAACGTGGATCCTAATTGAAAGACCAAAGGGGCACAAGGCAATTGGATGCAAATGGATATTCAAGAGAAAACCAGGAATAATTGGTGTAGAAGCTCCAAGGTACAAAGCGAGATTAGTTGCAAAAGGCTATGCACAGAAGGAGGGAGTAGACTATCAAGAAATCTTTGCTCCTGCTGTCAAGCACGTGTCAATCAGGTACATGTTGTCTGCAGTAGTTCATTACGATATGGAGTTGGAGCAACTTGACGTCAAGACAGCATTGCTTCATGGAAACTTAGACGAGTTTATCGTAATGGAGCAGCCTGAAGGTTTTGTAGACAAGAGGCTGATGCACTTGCATTTTGCATAGTTTTAGTACATCTTTTATGCATCTTTTGCATAGTTTTAGCATCCATTAGCATCATATCTTGTTCCTTTTCTCTTCTTATGCATTCATAGTAGTTTTAGGTTGCATTTGCATACATATGCATGTTTGGTCCTTTGAAATAGGTCTTTTGGAGCATTCTGGAGCATATGGGACGTGAGGAGCATGGAAGGACTTGGTGCATGGACGCAGCTCAACTGGATACGCAAAGGAAGAAGGAGGAAGCCATCTTGAAGACCAGCTCGACCATCTACTCGACCAACCGGTCGAGTTCCTCAACTCGACCGGCCAAGCTTCAACTCGATCGAGCTGAGAAGTCAAAGTCAAACCCGAAAAATGTTGCTTCCCCCTTGACTTTCCTTTGACCCTAAACCTAAATCCTCTTGTATTTAAAGGCTAAAAGCCACGAAAAAACCACCAAGCTTTAGATTACTTTTGTTTTAGTTTCTTTTAATTATTGTCTTTTACTTTTTAGAGCTCTAATCCCATCTTTGTGTTCTTGAAGCTCTTGCTTCTTGAATCCTAGATCCTGGATAATCTCTTTTGTATTTGCACTTGCTTATTTCAATAAAAGTTGTTTATCTTTATCTCCTCTTTCATTTGATGTTTATTTCATTGCATTTGCTTGTGTTTACATTCATGTGTAGTGAGTAGTTACCCATTAGGGTTTGAGATGGGATAGATTAGGGGATTTTATGCTTAATCCTTCTTGCTTATGTCTTAATCTAGAAATCTCTCTCTTTTGGAAACCTTAAGGCTACATGACCACTACCCCTGGCTTGTATGTCCATAGGCGATTCTCCACATGGAAGTGATGGAAATCGTTGGAAAAGGTCCACTAAGAGCTCCAATAACTCTTGCTCTCGAAATGGAGTTCATAGGGGTTGGATGGATTAGTTTGAGCAATGATCCTATGGCCTCCAAGGCTTGATTCTCACTGGCTAACCCCCTGTTTCTGAGATCAGTCTTGGTTGATAGCTTTCACCTTGGGAAAGGGTTAGCTAGGCATTGAGAAGCTCAATATCAAGAGATACCTTGATACAAGTTGTTTGAGAGCAAGATTGATTAAGTATAGCCTTCCTCTGATTGTAAACCCTGTCTTAGACCCTAATTCTCGCATTAGCTTGTTAAAGTCGCTGCCTTTATTGCTTTTTACTTCAACTCGACCCTAAACTCGATCGAGCTCGGTACTCTGTTCCCACTCGACTCGAGTCCTTGGTCGAGCTGTTGCTCTACTGCTTTATTTACTTATTGCATTGCATTTCTGTTTCATTTAGGTTGTTAGTGTTACCCCATATCTATTACTGCTTGCTTGACTTCCTTGTATTTCATATTCTCATAGAGTGACAACTTCTCCCATTTTGGATTGATACCTGATATACCTCTAATTTACCCACTTTTTATACTATTTTAGCATTGTTTTCTAATGGTTTTTGGCAGGTTTTCTATCTAAAAAGGTAGTTTTACTGTGTTTATAGTGTCTAGAGTCTAAACAGGTGAAATGATGCATTTTGGAGCAAAACCATAGGATTTGCACTTCAAGCAGCTCCATGCACAAGCACCAACTTTAAGAGGGCCCAGAAAAAGATCTACTCAATGGATTTCATCAAGACCAGTTCCCTGCGTGCTCTGATTGAGTTAACTTTCCAACGCAATTGGAATGGCAATTTGGATGAGTAGAAAAGGAGTTATAACCAAAAGAGCGGAGACTGTCCAGACGGCTCTATCGAGAGAACAGCGCCCAAACCGCGCAGACCGGCTGGCCGAGAAACTATTGTTTCGTGCTCGGCCAAAGTCACATCCGTCCGACTGAAGTCTCGGCCAAAGCTCCAAACCGACCGGCCGATCACGCAATGCGACCCGGGAAACATTGTCCCGCGGTCGGCCAAGCTTCAAACGCTCCACGCCACGCCGCGCACGACCAAAGCGCGCGAGCCGGGAAACAAGGCCTCGCGGCCGCGCAACCCTGTTCCGCGTGCCACGGCCGATGCATCCGTCCGAGCCGGGAAAGAACGTCCCACGTCCGGCCGAGAAACCATCGGCCAAATCTCAATCCGCTCGACCACGCCGGATTTCTTAGACTGCGAAAGTTGATCTATCTATATCTAGTGAACTGTATCAGAACCTATTCATTCTAATGCTTGATCTAATCACCTAGGGACATACCAAAAGTTTAGCGACTAGGTAGATTAGCAAAGGAGCCGGAGCCTCGAAAGTGGAATGGTTTTATATTCGTGATCTGTGTTCTAGATGGTTCTTAATATCCCAATATCCCTAATCAATTAATCTATCATTGTTTCATTGATCATTGCTTGCTTCTCTGCGATAGCCCCTATGACCTAGCGCTTTTCCTTTATTGCTTACAACCTCGTTATACTTGCTAGTTCGGTTCACCATTACAACCTCAATCATACTTTTGTTTTAGCTTGATCCAAAATCCATAGTTACAAAGTGTACTCAATAGCCAGTCCTTGTGTTCGATACCCATACTTCCGCGATCTGTGCACTTGCAGAGGTCTAGGAGTTTGGTAAAACCTGACTCCGCATCAAGTTTTTGGCGCCGTTGCCGGGGACTGCAGCAGTACCTTTGGAACTCGACTAGGATCTAGTCTAGAACCTTTTCCTGTTTTACTTTTCTTTTGCTTTTGAATTTTTAGTTTTTGATTTCCTTTTCTTTGATTTTTACTTTTGTTTTTGTTTTTCCCTTTTGATTTAACTTGTTTCCAAGACTCTTTTCAGGTGCATGACTAGGAGGTCCAACAAGGACAACCTAGTTGAACATCCAGAGATAGACAAGCTTGAGAAGCAACTTAGGAAGCAAAAGCCCAAGAGATGGCCGACGAAGCAGCTCGCGCTCACGCCGCTGAAGTGGCGCGCGCTCAAGAAGAAGGAAGAGATCCACCTCCTCCTCCTCCTAATCCACAAGACCCTGCTGGAGATGTGAACGCACAACCCCAAGCTGGAGCACCTACAATCGGAGACTATGACTCTGCCGATGCTTTCTTCATGGATAGAAACCCTATCCATCCACCACCACCTGCAAGGAATGACTATGAGATCAAGCCTCAGATCATTGCATTGGTTAGACAGAACCAATTCAATGGACTTCCAGCTGAGCACCCTCTTGATCACATAGAAAACTTTGAAGAAATTTGCAGCACTACAAGATCCAATGGAGTCTCTGCTGACTACCTTAAGTGCAAGCTCTTTTCATTCTCTCTTGGCGACAAAGCTTCAAGATGGTTGAAGTCTCTGCCAGCTCACTCCATCACCACTTGGGATGAGTACAAGGCTGCATTCATCAACCACTTCTACACCAACAAAGATCAATTTCTGTAAGAAACAAGATCTCCACTTTCGCCAAGCCAACAATGAATCTTTCTATGAGGCGCTAGATCGATTCAAGGAGTACATTAGGGACTGCCCTAATCATGGTTTCAATGAGGGAAACCTATGGAACATCTTCTATCGTGGCATAGACCACAAGTACAAGCTTTCATTGGATACAGCAAGCAATGGAAACTTCATGACCAAGACTGTTGATGAAGCTAAGGTTCTTATTGAGAATCTTGCAGCTAGTGATTGTAACAACTGTCCTGATTATGACCGCTCAAGCCGCACCACTACTAGCTCCCCTGATTCTTTTCAAATGACTGAACTCAAGAACATGATGGCTCAAGTTCTTAAGGGACAGCTCAAGCATATCAATGCAATAGAAGGGATGAGTGATGCTAATGAAGATTCATCAAGAGAATGCATGGGAGATTTCTCTAATGAAGCCAATGAAGAAGATGTGAACTACATTGGAAACTATGGGAACAAGGGATACAATCCAAGCTATCGCCCAAACCCCAACATGTCTTATAGAAACCCCAATGTGGAGAATCCTCAAGACCAAGTGTATCCTCCAAGGTATCCACAACAACAAAGACCTCCTTACCAATCTCAAGGAAGTCAATTTCAGCCAAGGCAAGGATATGAGCAGAGATCATCATATCCGCCCAAGGAGCCATATGCTTCTTCACCAAATCAAGCTCCTCCAAACCAACAAGGTGGGAGATTTGAAGGAATCCTCCAACAGATCATGGATGGCCAGAAGAGAAACACTAAAGAGATGTATGAGAAGATGGACACTTTGTTCAGCAATCTCAACACCAAGTATGATGCTGTTGCCACTCATGTGAAGAAACTAGAGACTCAAGTCACTCAAACTATGGAAGCTGTTAAGAGACAGGAAGCTGAATCCAAGAAGTCCTTTTGCAACTCAGCCGCCATAGAAGAAAGATTTGAAGACCAAGTTCCAGAATGGATGCTTTCAAAACCTACTGTTGATTGCATGATTTGGCCTGAAGAGAATTACCCAGAGAGAGAGTCCAATCGAGCTAGAAAGAGAAGACTCTTCCCAAAGATTATCCCCAAGACAGATAACTCAGGAAAGTTTGTTGTGCCTTGTATCATCAAAGGTAACATTCTTGAGCAATCTTTGTGTGACACAGGAGCCAATGTGAACATCATGTCTAAGAGGATAGCTGACAAGATAGGCCTCACCAAGATAGAGCCATCATCCATCTCCATCAACTATGCTGATTCATTCTCACAAACCCCTATGGCTTTGTGCCTAATGTGATGGTGCAGATTGGAAATTGCTCTATCCCTACTGATTTCCAGATTGTGGAAATGAGAGAGAGTAGCCATAGACCTCTCATATTTGGAACCCCTTTCCTGTCTACTGTGGGTGCCATATTTGATTTCCCCAATCAAAGAATCTCTTTCAACAAGGTGAACAAGGGTATGTTCTTCCCTATGTGTTCAACAAAGAACTCTTTTGTTGACATGGTCCAAGAGGAGAAAGCTACTTTGAAGCCACCCCAAGAAGGAGAAACTGAAGAAACAATCAAGGAAGATCCCATTCCTAAGCCCAAGCAGCTTGCCAAACAAGCAAGGAGTAAGACTAAGGCCCCTACACCAAAACCGCCCAAGGGATCAACCAAGATTGAAGATGAGGCCAAGCCAAGAAGGAAGGTTAGAAAACCTAGGTCTGGCCGCAACATGAAGCTTCTATTCCCAAGGAGCTTATTGATGAGAATCTAGAAGGATTCAAGGAGAAAGTGACAAGAACTCTAAAGCTTTTTCCTAAGGCAGTAGTGCCAAGGGACATTCATGGAGAGATTGTCTATCCAGCTGTGAATCACCCACCAGATACTCATTGCAAGGAGAAAAGACTTGGAGGATCAAAGATGCCTCTTGTCTCCATCTTCTCCTGAGCGCCAAGCCTTACAGTCAAGCTAAAGACTTAAAACAAGCGCTGCATGGGAGGCAACCCATGAGGTACTTTTACTTTTCTTTCTTTAATTTTCTTAGTTTTTGTTTTGCTTTTGTGTTTTCTTTGTTTTAAGATAGGATAGAAGGAGAAAAAGGTGTGAAAACACAATCCGCGCCAAAACATTGGCCGCGGACGCGCAAAAGTGAATTTTGGCCGAGCAATTCTCAATCTGGCCGACCGTTACGGTCGAGCCGGGAAGGAATAAGCCGTGCTCGGCCGGATCACTCATTGCGCGACAGAAACCGTTCGCGCGCACGCACGAACCGGGAAAGAAGGCCGCGATCGGCCGAAATTTTCGTATCGGAACGGACCGACCGTGCCGGTCGATCCGGGAAACAACGATCGGCCTCGGCCGAAATCTCTCGGCCAAACAATTTGGCCGACCAAATCGCTCGACCGCGACAAAATCCATCGGCCATCGGCCCAAAACTTTTCTAGGCCAAGGTAAGTCCCCTTTTCATTAATTCAAACCGGTTTTAACCAATCTAAACCAACTTAAACCGGTTTTCAATCAAAATTCGAATTTGAAAAGGAAAATTGATAGGATTTAGATCTTATTTACTTACCTTTCCCTTGAAAACCACAAGAACCTCTCTTTCTTCTCCAAAACCCTAAACTCCATTAGAGGAACTCTAAGAGTTTTGATTTCAAAACTTTTACTGTTCATAACTCTAAATTGGAATTTACTTGCTCTTGCAACCTTATTCACTTTTCAACACACAAGGTATGTCTTCTAACTCTAATCCTATGTTTATGCAAGATCGAAAATCTTCAATAAGTTTCATGTTTGGTCTAAACTCTTGTCTAGACTTGAAATTAGCATCCTTATAGTCTTGTAATGAACTTTGCTAGGTGGAACCTAGGTGGTTTAGAGTTAATTTGAAGTTTAATTTCACAATTGAATAGTTTTTCACAAAACTTATTGGGCATTCCAAACCCCTTATTCAAAGGTGAAATTGCTTGGCATACTTCAATTCATTAGTTTATCTAGTGATTACTTGGATTAGAAACTCAATTTCTCTTGATTTGCTGAAAATTTTGATTTTAAGCACCATAATCTTGGGATGAACAGTAAAATCCGAAAATTAATTTTGAAAAAGTGAAATTTCTATTTTGTCTCTTTGATTCATGATTAAGCCTTGAGTTGTTCCTTTATTCCATATCATTATTGCAACTCAATTAGCTTATTCTTCTTTTGCATTAATCACAAACTCATATTTCTTCCCAAGAATTTGCTCTTGTAGGTACACAATGGCAAAGACAAAAGGAAATGAGAGTATGAAGAAGAAGAAGAACCCATTCATGGAACCACCAAAGAAGCAAATCAAGCTAGGGAGTAGTAGCTCCAATGCAAGAGCAGCAATACCAACTTCACCACATTCCATTGATGCAATCAAGAACATGTGGAGAGTCCAAGAGAGGAGAAGATGATTGGGCACTTGTAACCTTTGTTGGAGAACAAAATCAAGACCCAAGAAAGTGTAAGAAGGCAATGGAGAAGGTGAACATCGAGCCATGTGTGAAGATGGACACCCAAACCCTTGATCTTCTCAAGATAAGAGATGATGTCACATGGTACATAAGGAAGCTAGGCTTGAGCAAGCTCTTCAAGCTAGAATGTAGTGAGTACTCACAACTCACCAAGGAGTTCCTCTCTACAGTAGCTCTTGCCTTTCCCAACCACAATGGAGACCAACCAGCTGGTGAAGGACTCCTACTCTTCAAGATAGGCGATGCCAATGGGCGCATCTCCATCTCAGCTCTATGCCAACTCTTTGGACTTCCCAATGAGACAGCACATGACTTCAAGGAGAACTCAAAGAGGAAACAAGCTGCCTTTGCTGATTGGACACACTTTGCCAATGAACCATTCTTGCCTTCAAGGTCAAAGGTGTCTAGAATCACTCATCCAGCCATTCGCTATGTGCACCGCCTCATCTCCACCACTTTCCAATGCAAACAAGAAGCCAACAAGGTCACAACTGATGAGTTCTACATCCTCACCACACCATTCATCAAGCATGAGTACAAGGCCAACCTTGGACTTTTACTTGCCAAGACATTCATCAATGTGAGGAAGCTAGCTAAAGACTTGGAAGGCAACAAGAAGCTTTGTGTTCGTTTTGGGAGGCTTATCACGGCCATAGTACTGCATGTGGGGATTGACATTCCCAACTATGAGCCACTACCCAAGCCAACCCCTTTGGATCTCCATGCTCTTCAGCACATCCACTTCCTAAACCGTTGGACTAAAGACCCAACTCGGTTTTGCTATGAGTTTCCAATTGGTCCAGCCAACACTTCCCTTGTCTTGCTGCCACATGAGGACATCCCAAGCCTACGCTCAGGAGTTGTCACTTTCCAGCCCAATGAGGAAGAGTTCTATGTTCCATCAAGTGAGAAACCATCATTCCCCATGCTCACCTATCGCACACTTCAGCATGCAGTCAAGACTCAACGCCGCATCCAAGAACGCCATGTTCTCACTACTGGCATGGCTGCGCACCAGCTCTAGACCGTGTTAACAAGCTGGAGAAGATAGTGGAATGCCAATCTCGCTTCATCTCGCGCCTAGTCCGCGTAGTTCGCCACATTGCACCGGAGAGACTCTTTCGCCCTTCTTCCACCGCTAGAGAGCCATATGAGCCTGACCTTGGTGAGTTCTCACTAGACTCAGAGCTTGGTTCAGAAGGCGATGACCCCATAGATGAGGAAGAGAGTTCTTCTCACTGCCACACATAGTCATCTCAAGTGGTACTTAGTGCAATGGACACTTACAAATCTCCATTTTCTATCCCTATCTTATTTTAATGAATTTTTCTTTATTTTTCTTTTACTTTGAATATTACCTCTCACCTTAATGTGATTTGCTTTCACCGGGACGGTGCAAGTTAAGTCTGGGGGGAGTTTTATTGTGTTACTAATGCATTTTTCTTTCTTTTCTTATGTTTTATTCACTTTGTTTCATGTTTTTCAAAAAGTTTTATTGAGTCAAAAACCAGTCCGGAAGTTATGAACTTGCTTTGAGAATTGAGAGTGTTATGCTAACAATCCATGACCCTAGAGCAGAAACCAGCTAAAGGCACAAGCCTAACAGAAGCTCTTACAGTGGATCGACATGCTAGCTCAGCAAAATTTCTAAGGTAACCAAGCAATCTAGAGTTAACCTCACACTTAATCAATCTTAATTACTCTTGTCAAGGGGGTTGGCATACATGTCGACAGTTCCTTGCTTGATTTTCAATAAGATTTGTCTAATCTTTAAAGAGTTCTCCTCTCTCTCCCATCCCAAATGGTAAGTAATTATGAGAAAAAGCTCAAAGAGCACAAGGACAACAAGTAAGCATGAGGAATGCATATGTCTGTACCTTCATGTCTTATGGAATACCTTAGTCAAACAAGGAACAAGCTAAAGACTTATCCTGTGGTTGAAAGAAGGGTCAATAGAAAAAATAAAATGATACCCTAGAAAAGTAGGGAGAAATTGACCTTTCAAAGTTCTGATGTGAGAAAGAGAGAGGAAAAGAACTCATTGCACTTAAAGAGGCAATCTTGGAGAGGATCAAGTGGGTAAGAACAAGTTCAATTGATCGATGTCCCCTTGATAAAGAATTCACGCTTTAAATTTATGCAAGAGGTTAGCAATAGAGAGTTTGGATTGCTGGATGAGACTAGTTGGGTTGGTATTGTTCGCTAAACTTGCAGGGTGTATGTGAAGCTAACCTTATGTTGTCTATGTTCATAGTGGAATACAGGAAAGGAACCTTTCACAGGATATTCAAAAGAGCAAGGGAGCTTCCACGTTTTCAAACCTCTTTCACGGATTTAGATTCTTTTTGCTTGAGGACAAGCAAAGATCTAAGTCTGGGGGAGTTGATATACCTCTAATTTACCCACTTTTTATACTGTTTTAGCATTGTTTTCTAATGGTTTTTGGCAGGTTTTCTATCTAAAAAGGTAGTTTTACTGTGTTTATAGTGTCTAGAGTCTAAACAGGTGAAATGATGCATTTTGGAGCAAAACCATAGGATTTGCACTTCAAGCAGCTCCATGCACAAGCACCAACTTTAAGAGGGCCCAGAAAAAGATCTACTCAATGGATTTCATCAAGACCAGTTCCCTGCGTGCTCTGATTGAGTTAACTTTCCAACGCAATTGGAATGGCCTCATTTGGATGAGTAGAAAAGGAGTTACAACCAAAAGAGTGAAGACTGTCCAGACGGCTCTATCGAGAATCAGCGCCCAACCGCGCAGTCCGGCTGGCCGAGGAACGAATGTTCCGCGCTCGGCCAAAACCGTCCGTCCGACTGAAGTCTCGGCCAAAGTCCAAACCACTCGGCCGATCACGCAACACGACCCGGGAAACATTGCCCGCGGTCGGCCAAGCCAACGCCACGCCACACCGCGCACGACCAAAGCGCGCGAGCCGGGAAACAAGCCTCGCGGCCGCGCAACCCGTTCCGCGTACCACGGCCGATGCATCCGTCCGAGCCGGGAAAGAACGTCCCACGTCCGGCCGAGAATTTCATCGGCCAAATCTCATCCGCTCGACCACGCCGGCCGACCACGAATCCGTCCGACCCCGACCGTTCCGACTCGCCACGACCGATCCGGCCGATCGTCCCGCACGACCGTCCCAACGCCGCGGTCGACCCGAAGCCCTTTTTGAAGCCCAAACTTATGTTTTCAAGCCCGGCTTAACCCTAGCCGCCTCTAGAAAGACCTAGCACTATATATATGGATTTTTAGCCTCTTGAGAAAGAGAGCCGCCCTGTATTTCGATTTCCTACTCTAAGTTTTATTGCAATCATGTTTTCTTCATCTCTATGTGTGTTTGCTTTGATCATGTCTGAGTAATCCACTAGTTAGGTTGCTAGGGTTACTATTCAATGAGTTGCTTGCATGATCTTTGATTTCAATGATTAGCTAGGGATTATATTAGAGTCTTTGTCTCGTCTTGTGCACTTAACTAATGCTGATTGCTTTACCGCGCATCTAGTAATCCGATCTTAGGTTGATTTGAGCCTCGACAGTGCTGTATCATTCGCCGGACATATTCTTTGACAAGCTAGGTTTCTTAGACTGCGAAAGTTGATCTATCTATATCTAGTGAACTGTATCAGAACCTATTCATTCTAATGCTTGATCTAATCACCTAGGGACATACCAAAAGTTTAGCGACTAGGTAGATTAGCAAAGGAGCCGGAGCCTCGAAAGTGGAATGGTTTTATATTCGTGATCTGTGTTCTAGATGGTTCTTAATATCCCAATATCCCTAATCAATTAATCTATCATTGTTTCATTGATCATTGCTTGCTTCTCTGCGATAGCCCCTATGACCTAGCGCTTTTCCTTTATTGCTTACAACCTCGTTATACTTGCTAGTTCGGTTCACCATTACAACCTCAATCATACTTTTGTTTTAGCTTGATCCAAAATCCATAGTTACAAAGTGTACTCAATAGCCAGTCCTTGTGTTCGATACCCATACTTCCGCGATCTGTGCACTTGCAGAGGTCTAGGAGTTTGGTAAAACCTGACTCCGCATCAAAGGCAACAAGAAGCTTTGTGTTCGTTTTGGGAGGCTTATCACGGCCATAGTACTGCATGTGGGGATTGACATTCCCAACTATGAGCCACTACCCAAGCCAACCCCTTTGGATCTCCATGCTCTTCAGCACATCCACTTCCTAAACCGTTGGACTAAAGACCCAACTCGGTTTTGCTATGAGTTTCCAATTGGTCCAGCCAACACTTCCCTTGTCTTGCTGCCACATGAGACATCCCAAGCCTACGCTCAGGAGTTGTCACTTTCCAGCCCAATGAGGAAGAGTTCTATGTTCCATCAAGTGAGAAACCATCATTCCCCATGCTCACCTATCGCACACTTCAGCATGCAGTCAAGACTCAACGCCGCCACCAAGAACGCCATGTTCTCACTACTGGCATGGCGCGCACCAAGCTCTAGACCGTGTTAACAAGCTGGAGAAGATCGTGGAATGCCAATCTCGCTTCATCTCACGCCTAGTCCGTGTAGTTCGCCACATTGCACCGGAGAGACTCTTTCGCCCTTCTTCCACCGCTAGAGAGCCATATGAGCCTGACCTTGGTGAGTTCTCACTAGACTCAGAGCTTGGTTCAGAAGGCGATGACCCCATAGATGAGGAAGAGAGTTCTTCTCACTGCCACACATAGTCATCTCAAGTGGTACTTAGTGCAATGGACACTTACAAATCTCCATTTTCTATCCCTATCTCATTTTAATGAATTTCTCTTTATTTTTCTTTTACTTTGAATATTACCTCTCACCTTAATGTGATTTGCTTTCACCGGGACGGTGCAAGTTAAGTCTGGGGGGAGTTTTATTGTGTTACTAATGCATTTTTCTTTCTTTTCTTATGTTTTATTCACTTTGTTTCATGTTTTTCAAAAAGTTTTATTGAGTCAAAAACCAGTCCGGAAGTTATGAACTTGCTTTGAGAATTGAGAGTGTTATGCTAACAATCCATGACCCTAGAGCAGAAACCAGCTAAAGGCACAAGCCTAACAGAAGCTCTTACAGTGGATCGACATGCTAGCTCAGCAAAATTTCTAAGGTAACCAAGCAATCTAGAGTTAACCTCACCCTTAATCAATCTTAATACTCTTGTCAAGGGGGTTGGCATACATGTCGACAGTTCCTTGCTTGATTTTCAATAAGATTTGTCTAATCTTTAAAGAGTTCTCCTCTCTCTCCCATCCCAAATGGTAAGTAATGTTTATGAGAAAAAGCTCAAAGAGCACAAGGAAAACAAGTAAGCATGAGGAATGCATATGTCTGTACCTTCATGTCTTATGGAATACCTTAGTCAAACAAGGAACAAGCTAAAGACTTATCCTGTGGTTGAAAGAAGGGTCAATAGAAAAAATAAAATGATACCCTAGAAAAGTAGGGAGAAATTGACCTTTCAAAGTTCTGATGTGAGAAAGAGAGAGGAAAAGAACTCATTGCACTTAAAGAGGCAATCTTGGAGAGATCAAGTGGGTAAGAACAAGTTCAATTGATCGATGTCCCCTTGATAAAGAATTCACGCTTTAAATTTATGCAAGAGGTTAGCAATAGAGAGTTTGGATTGCTGGATGAGACTAGTTGGGTTGGTATTGTTCGCTAAACTTGCAGGGTGTATGTGAAGCTAACCTTATGTTGTCTATGTTCATAGTGGAATACAGGAAAGGAACCTTTCACAGGATATTCAAAAGAGCAAGGGAGCTTCCACGTTTTCAAACCTCTTTCACGGATTTAGATTCTTTTTGCTTGAGGACAAGCAAAGATCTAAGTCTGGGGGAGTTGATATACCTCTAATTTACCCACTTTTTATACTGTTTTAGCATTGTTTTCTAATGGTTTTTGGCAGGTTTTCTATCTAAAAAGGTAGTTTTACTGTGTTTATAGTGTCTAGAGTCTAAACAGGTGAAATGATGCATTTTGGAGCAAAACCATAGGATTTGCACTTCAAGCAGCTCCATGCACAAGCACCAACTTTAAGAGGGCCCAGAAAAAGATCTACTCAATGGATTTCATCAAGACCAGTTCCCTGCGTGCTCTGATTGAGTTAACTTTCCAACGCAACTGGAATGGCCTCATTTGGATGAGTAGAAAAGGAGTTATAACCAAAAGAGTGAAGACTGTCCAGACGGCTCTATCGAGAAACAGCGCCCAAACCGCGCAGTCCGGCTGGCCGAGAAACTATGTTTCGCGCTCGGCCAAAGTCACATCCGTCCGACTGAAGTCTCGGCCAAAGTCCAAACCGACCGGCCGATCACGCATCACGACCCGGGAAACATTGTCCCGCGGTCGGCCAAGCTTCAAACGCTCACGCCACGCCGCGCACGACCAAAGCGCGCGAGCCGGGAAACAAGGCCTCGCGGCCGCGCAACCCGTTCCGCGTACCACGGCCGATGCATCCGTCCGAGCCGGGAAAGAACGTCCCACGTCCGGCCGAGAACCATCGGCCAAATCTCAATCCGCTCGACCACGCCGGCCGACCGCGAATCCGTCCGACCCCGACCGTTCCGACTCGCCCACGACCCGACTGTCCGGCCGATCGTCCCGACCGACCGTCCCAACGCCGCGGTCGACCCGAAGCCCTTTTTGAAGCCCAAACTTATGTTTTCAAGCCCGGCTTAACCCTAAGCCGCCTCTAGAAAGACCTAGCACTATATATATGGATTTTTAGCCTCTTGAGAAAGAGAGCCGCCCTGTATTTCGATTTCCTACTCTAAGTTTTATTGCAATCATGTTTTCTTCATCTCTATGTGTGTTTGCTTTGATCATGTCTGAGTAATCCACTAGTTAGGTTGCTAGGGTTACTATTCAATGAGTTGCTTGCATGATCTTTGATTTCAATGATTAGCTAGGGATTATATTAGAGTCTTTGTCTCGTCTTGTGCACTTAACTAATGCTGATTGCTTTACCGCGCATCTAGTAATCCGATCTTAGGTTGATTTGAGCCTCGACAGTGCTGTATCATTCGCCGGACATATTCTTTGACAAGCTAGGTTTCTTAGACTGCGAAAGTTGATCTATCTATATCTAGTGAACTGTATCAGAACCTATTCATTCTAATGCTTGATCTAATCACCTAGGGACATACCAAAAGTTTAGCGACTAGGTAGATTAGCAAAGGAGCCGGAGCCTCGAAAGTGGAATGGTTTTATATTCGTGATCTGTGTTCTAGATGGTTCTTAATATCCCAATATCCCTAATCAATTCAATCTATCATTGTTTCATTGATCATTGCTTGCTTCTCTGCGATAGCCCCTATGACCTAGCGCTTTTCCTTTATTGCTTACAACCTCGTTATACTTGCTAGTTCGGTTCACCATTACAACCTCAATCATACTTTTGTTTTAGCTTGATCCAAAATCCATAGTTACAAAGTGTACTCAATAGCCAGTCCTTGTGTTCGATACCCATACTTCCGCGATCTGTGCACTTGCAGAGGTCTAGGAGTTTGGTAAAACCTGACTCTGCATCAATACCCTTTATGCTATAACGTCTATAATGGTTAAAGGGAATTGTTGACTGTGTTTGTGTTTGCATCTTACCACCTCATCATATACCACTGTTGCATTCCACTAAATCTTGTTTCATATCTTTCACACCCACACACAAATCCTATCATCAGAGGCACCCAGATAAAGTTTGTCTTCTGAAGAAATCACTATACGGTCTCAAGCAAGCTCTGAGACAATGGAACAAGAGATTTGACGACTTCATGAAGTCAAACGGGTACAACAGAAGTGAATACGATCAGTGCGTTTATTTCAAGAAGCTGAAGAGTGTGGCTTACATTTATCTACTTCTGTATGTGGATGACATGCTCGTAGCGTCAGTAGATAAAGACGAGGTCAAAAGGCTTAAGGTTCTTCTCGGCACATAATTTAAAATGAAGGATTTGGGCAGTGCAAAGAAGATTTTGGGTATGGAAATAGTCAGAGACAGAGTAAATGATGGTTTGTGGATCTCGCAAGAGAGTTACTTGATGAGAGTTTTATCTAACTTCAACATGGAGCAAGCAAAGTCTGTTGCTACTCCAATGGGAGCTCATTTCAAGTTACAAGCAGCAACAGAGCAAGAAGTTAAAAATCAGTTCGATTTTATGAAGAATGTTCCTTATCAGAGTGCAGTTGGCAGTATAATGTATTCGATGGTGGGAACTATACCAGACTTGGCATATCCAGTTGGAATGATCAGCAGGTTCATGAGCAATCCTATCTAAGAACATTGGCAAGCAGTGAAATGGGTTTTGAGGTATATCAAAGGGACTGTTGATACAAGGCTAAGCTTCAAGAGGAAAGGAGACTTTGTTGTGAAAGGCTACTGTGATTCAGATTACGCAGGAGATCAAGATAATCGTCGTTCAATCTCAGGTATGGTTTTTACTGCAGGTGGGAACGTGGTCAGCTGGAAATTGTCACTTCAGAGGATTGTTGCTTTGTCATCAACAGAGGCTGAGTATATTGCTTTGTCAGAGGCTGTAAAGGAAGGAGTCTGGTTAAAGAGATTTGCAGAAGAGTTGGGTTTTCCTCAGGATTCAGTGGAGATTCACTGTGACTCGCAAAGTGCCATAGCTCTTTCGAAGAATGCAGTTCATCACGAGAGAACAAAACATGTGGCAGTGAAATATCATTTCATCCGAGATCTTATCAGTTGCGGAGAAGTACAAGTTCTGAAGATTCCGACTGCTTACAACCCAGCTGACATATTCACAAAGGTGTTGCCAGTTTTCAAGCTAAGAGAAGCATTGAAGATGCTTCGGGTTACAAAGGAATAAAGTTGGCATCCGAGTATGGATGCAGGTATCCGGTGAAGGGTACAAGAAGATTCACCAAGTGTTGATCAATGTCTAAGGTGGAGATTTGAAGATTATAGCCATTGATCAGATGAGAGATCCAAGTTTATGGAGACTTCAAGGAAGTATGAAGGAGTTGGGTTTAGCTCAAGCACGGCTTTGTCTCACATCGAGACTCAGCTTTAAGTCAGATCACTATACGTGTCTCTCTCTCATAGGTTGGGGCGTGTCATTAGGCACGTGATGAATTGGGCTTATCCATAAGTTGTTTGGATATAGTCACAAGTGTATTCTCTTCTTTGAAGTGGTTAAGCCGTTGTAAAGGGGAAATCGGGATTAGAGAAGAGAGATGGAGAGAGACGCGAGATTTGTAAATTGGAGAACGGTGAAGCTCGCCGATTATAGTGATTGCCGGTGAAACTCCGTGCTCCAGGGGAGTAGGAAACGAACCCCTGGGTAACCAAATCCCTGTGTGCTCCTCTTTTACTTTTCTTGCTTTTACTTCTTCTGTTTCAATCAATCGAGTGAGGACGAGAGTTTGTTCTTGAGAATCTAGAGAGTTAGATCGCACATACATGATAAACTTACGTTTGCTTTTTTGGATTTCTCATATCGTCTTCACGCTTTGGTTCGAGAAAGTAGCTCGTCACATGAAGATTTCGTAATGGTGATTCATCTACAACAAACTCAAATGATTTCAAAACTGAAAACAAACAGTGGAAGAGACGAAGAACGAAAACAAAAGCAGGAAGGAAAAAAAAGATGAAATTTTTGAAACTTAAAAATGACCGAGGAATACATGCTTTTATAGAAGATGATTAGATTCAAACATTTCCTGATTTACAGTTTAAGGGCATGATTGGCGTTGAGACTCTGAGGGCTTTACAGCTTTAACTTATCCAAGTAGACTTTCAAGACTTTAATTTTTTAAGTCTTCAAAGCACATTTTTCATTTTTACTTCTTTGGTTTGATTTTTTTTTCTTTTTTTGAACAACTGATGATTTATATTAAACTTAGAACCATGTTACAAACCGAAGTCGGAAGCTCGATGCCAAGGAGTCCGAACAAGATGCAAAAAGGAAAGTACAAATCATGCTAAAGATAGATAGAAGGTTAGATTCATAGAAAATAACCTATATCCCTTTAGAAAAGGCAAGTTCTTCTGTCGTTGAAGACAAGTGAACGATGATGGCTCGTGATGAGCGTTTAAAGACTTTCTCCAAACAGGAGAGGAGCGAGTTCAGAGATACACCACCGGTAAGTTGGCAATACTCTAGAGCCACGGATGTAGATTTGGAGATACTCCGGCATGTTGGCAATACTCCATAATCCACAATGAAGGAGGAAGGCTGGAAGCAAAACACGATTGAAGATATAACTTTGAAAGATGTCGTTGTATTGCTGTAAAGGGCTGGTGAGTGGTTTAAAGGACTCCAATGAGCAAGCTTTTGCAGCGAGATTAGGTTCGTCAGTAACGGAAACTCCAAGCTGCGGAAGGCTGAAACAGAGTAGTACAAGGGCTTGCCGTGTGTGGTGGAGGCGCATAGCATAGAATGAAACACAGACACCAGGGCGGAAGAGGATTTGTGGCCATCAAGGGTCGATGGAGGAGAAGAAACGGTTTGCGCTGCTCCTGGAAAGCCCAAGAAAGTCGAGCTATGTTGTGCAGTCGGAGGAGGATTGTGGCCGGAGAGATGAGATTTCAAACTATGGTCGACGGCTACCTCTAACTCCGTGACATGGATGGAGAGCAAGGCTGTAGAACTGTAGGTTTTGGTGGAGAGCAAGGCTTTGACTACGGCGAGAAAGACAGTATCATCGGTTGGCGGAACAAAGTCTTTGTCCAACAATGTCAAAGATGTTGAGTTGGAGAGGATGGAGACGAATTTAACGACTTCGGGCGACGGTCTTGGACTCAAATCCAAATATGTGGATGAAATCCAACCCAAACAGGGCTTAATGGGCCAAGCCCCAACGATGAACACCACCAGATCTGGAGAGCCAGCGGTGGCGAGGGAGGAAGACGGTGGTGGAGGAAACGGATGCCGAAAACGAAGACGAGAATGACGGGTACATGACAGTGGATAAAACAGAGGATGAGAACACGACCGTGAGTCTGGAGGATCCGGAGGCTTCAGAGGAGGAGGCGGCAGCGCCTTCAAACTATTTCCACGGAGGTGAAGAAATTCTGGTGAAACGATTCCAGCAGGCTGAAAGAGAGAAGAGGAGGCTCCATCCTCAAGAGCTCCGTCGATCTCATCGATTTGACCACCGGAAACGACGAACGACACGGACTGAGAACAAGGCGGAGAGGTTTCAACGAGCAAATTACAACCTTTGGCGAAGTGGAAGATGGCATCCAGAAGCCAGTCCTCAAAAGCTCCATAGAAGCCATCGTTATTGACACCGAAGAAGTAAAACAATCGAGGTGGGTGAGCAGATCGAGAAAACAAAGAAAAGCTTATAAAAGACAGAGTGGAGCTCGAGCAAACAAGGAGAGCTTCCGATTTCAGAAGAAGAAGCCCCGGTGAAGGAGCTTCATTCCGAAATCGGAGCTGTACGGCGGAGGTAGCGGCTGCCTAGGTAAGCGTGTCAGGGAGAGAAAGTTTTTAGGGCGTTTGATTTTTTTTCTAAAAGTCACTTTTCAAGACTTTTATTCTCTCTCTTCGAGGAAGAATTCTTTTTTTTGTTTTTAGTTTAATTACTTTTATTTTCCTTTCTACTCCCAAAGAAATCAAAACTTATTTTTAACACAAAATTAATTTTATTTCAATAAAATTTTGACTAATTATTCATAATTTTGTTTTTCTCATTCTTTTCATACACATTTTCATATAGTTTATAGTTAAAATGTTATTTTCTTAAAAAAATAATCATTTTAATGTTAAAATTATATTTTAGTTAGTTATACTAAAAAAATTAACTAATTAAAAAATATTCATGCTCTTGTAAAAGGAAATTTTTTTTAACAGATTTTATTTTATAAAATTTAAAAGTCAGTATAGCTTATGTTACCAATCAGACTTTCATTATTTTTAAAAGTAACAGTCAGAGTCTCTAAAGCCAAATTCTCTATAGCCAAAAGTCAACAATCATAGCCTAAAGCCAAAGTTCTAAACAATCAGGCCTTAAGTTTCTACATGATCTGGTGATAGTGGTTAGTTAAGAAACGAAAAATTTAGGGTTTTTTTGTGATGCGGAAGTTTCTCAGATCGTGTTCTCAGGCACGAAAATTTTACACATCTGTTTCAACATCTGGGCTGATGAAAATGGGCTTTAACCATTTATGACCCATTATTTATTTACTTTTCGTTTGATATACTCTACATGTTTTCTTTTGAATTTGATTAACATTACACGTAATTATGTTTAACTGCTAAGCCTTTTTTTTCCTTAATTTTGACATAGTCACTCTGCCATTGGGCGAGTGACTTGTGCTTTAGTATATTAGAGATAAATACAACCAAAATACTAATTACCTGAAAAATTATACACATAAAATACCAAAATTCAGTGCATCAATCAATTATTGTAAAGACACACCCACAAAACACCATTCTTATCTTCTGTCCGAGTCTCAACTTGGGTTAAGATCACGCGACGTCTGCCCTAGCCATCTGCAACACACAAAGACAACACCAAGTCATTGTCGTGTCCTAAACTATTAGAGAACGAGAAGCATTGAAGAAGATAAGCTAAAAGAAGATAATCATTCTCATTAATCATTAATTGTCCGTTTACATTTCCCTTTATACAAAAGATTAGTTCCCGGTTTACCATACACGATAACCGGTTTACATCATAATACATTTCATACGCTAATATTCCCCCTCAAGATGGCGAGTAAATTGAAAGAAGCGACATCTTGCCGAGAAGAAAGTTGAACTGAGTAGGAAACAGAGGCTTCGCAAACACATCCGTGAGCTGACTCTCCGTGGTGATGTGTAAAGTCCTGATCAAACCACTCTGAATCTTGTCACGAACAATGTGACAATCATTCTCTATATGCTTCATCCGTTCGTGGAAGACGGCATTGTTGGCAATGTGGATTGCAGCCTCAGAGTCACAATAGAACGCCACAGAATGAGGCTGTCGTACTTGAAACTCTTGCAAAAGATTGACCAACTATGTGATTTCCCGGACTGCAAACTCCATCGCACGATATTCTGATTCAGCTGAGGAATGAGATGAAGTTTGCTGCATCTTGGAATTCCATGAAATGAGAGAAGGACCAAGAAACATACAAAACCCAGAAGTAGACTTCCTCGAATCTGAACAAGAATTCCAATCAGCATCCGTGAAACCTTTCAATAACAAGTCGGAATCCGCTGAATAGAATAGGCCTAAACCAATCGTGCCTTTCAAGTAGTGAAGCACCTTATGAGCCGCATGAAGATGTGAAGCCTTAGGGGCAGAAGTAAACTGACAAAGACGATTCACAGCATAGGTAATGTCAGGACGAGTAATTGTCAAATACATCATTTTTCCCACTAGACGACGATAAGGCGTGATATCTTCCAGAACAGGCTCATCAGAATCAAGTCTCAACTTGATACTAGGATCCATAGGAATAGAAGAGGGTTTGCAAGCAAGCATACCAGTGTCCTCAAGAAGCTCCAGAGTGTATTTCCGTTGGCAAACTGATATGCCTTGCTTGAACGAGCAATCTCCAAACCGAGAAAATATCTTAATTCGCCCAAGTCCCGTAGCTTGAAAGCTAACTTTGGATTAGACTTTAAAGTCTCAACTTCTTCATCGTTGTTGCTAGCAATGATAATATCATCTACATAAACCAACACAGCCACATAACGACCACAATCGTTCTTGATAAACAGGGTGTGATCCGCGTGTGACTTCTTGAAACCCAAAGCCAGAAGTGTAGTACTGAATTTGATGAACCACTGACGAGAGGCTTGCTTAAGGCCATACAGTGACTTCTTCAGCCTACAAACAGCATTTGGAGGTAAAGTGATTCCAGGTTTTGGAGTATAACCAGGAGGAAGTGTCATATAAATTTCCTCATCCAAATCCCCATTAAGGAAGGCATTAGAGATATCGAGCTGAGTCAAACTCCAATTCTTGGCCGCAGAGACTGCAAGTAAAGTCTTGACAGTTGTCATCTTGGCCACCGGTGAGAATGTGTCTACAAAATCAACACCGGGTTTTTGAGTGTACCCTTTTGCAACTAAACGTGCCTTATAACGTTCCAAGCAACCATTCGCCAAAAGTTTGAGCTTGTAAACCCATTTGCAACCAATAGCGTGTTTGCCGTGAGGTAGAGAACAGATGTCCCACGTATCAGTCTTCTCCAGAGCCAACAATTCCTCATTCATTTCTTGAATCCACTCCTCAAACTTCAAAGCATCCTTAAAAAGGCAGGCTCAGGTAATAATGCGAAAGCACAGATATAGTCCTTATACTCATCAGAGAGTTGACTATAAGACATGAAATTAGCCAATGGATAAGGAATATCCACATCCGTAACATTGCAGTAGTAATCTTGCAAGTAGGCAGGCTTCTTCTGTGCTCTCTTGGTACTTTCCCTTTGATCTCCATCACATGAATCTTCAGAACGAGAACCAGTGTGGGAGGGATTTGGGTTCTCGACCATAGAAGGCGAATTCACAACTACGGGAACCTCCCCGATGTCCACACCAGAACTATCAGTGTTCAAAGATCCCTGCGAAAAATCGAAGAATTCTAAGGGAAAGGAAGACTGACCATCAGAAAATGGGAAAATCTCTTCATAAAACACCACATTGCGAGAGATATGGACTGAATTTGTCTCCAAGTCCAAGAGTTTGTATCCCTTGTAGCCTGAAGGATAACCCAGAAAAACACATGGCTTCGAGCGTGGTTGGAACTTGTGGCGCTGCTTCGGAGAAGTAGAAGAGTAGGCGAGGCAGCCGAACACACGCAAGCCAGTATAGTCAGGTTTCTTCGAAGTCAGAACCTGAAACGGGGATCGGTCTTTCAGAAGAGGAGTCGGAAGTCTGTTGATGAGAAAAACGGCCATAAGAACGCAGTCTCCCCAATATTCCAACGGTACATGAGCTTGAAACATCAAGGAACGAGCCACGTTCAAGATATGCTGGTGCTTTCTCTCAACAACAGAGTTCTGTTCTGGTGTCTCAGGGCATGAATGATAAGAAACGATGCTCTTTTTCTTATACAGAGCTGTGAACTTCAACTCTGGAGCATTATCTGATCTCACACCTTTGACCACTGCATTGTACTGCGTCTCAACCATAGTCAGAAACTCCGGGAAGACAGTGAGAACTTCATCCTTAGTCCGCATCAAGTAGATCCAAGTCACTCGGGTGTGATCATCCACAATAGTGAGGAAATACCTATAACCTTCAACAGTAGACACTGAGAAAGGACCCCAAGTGTCTATGTGAAGAAGATCAAAAGCATTCTCACACATATTATTGTTAGATGCAAAAGATAAGCGTTTCTGTTTGGCAAGAGGGCAAATAGCACAATGGAAAGCTTTATTCTTTTGTTTGGCACCAAGTACATCCGCAATAAAGTCGGTTTTAGAGAAAGCAGGATGTCCTAGTCTATTGTGCCAAATGGTTGAATCAACGACAACATGAGAACAAATATAAGGGGATGAAGAAATGTCTCTAAGGGAAGCAGCATCCAGAACGTAGAGATTGGAGATTTCATCACCCTGACCAATCATCAGCCCCTTGGTATGATCCTGTATCATACAGAATCCTTGTCAAAAACAACACGATAGCCCAAATCTTTCGTCAATTGACTGATACTGAGAAGGTTCAGACGAAAATCTGGGATATACAGAACGTTGCGCAAGACCAAGCTATCATTCAACTTAACCGTGCCAATGCCTTCAATAGCAATGCCTATACCCGTAGGCAATGTCACTGATCGATTCATAGAACTGGAAATCTCAACAAACAAGTCTCTATCATGACATACATGATGAGTGGCACCACTGTCTATAATCCAAGACTGAGAAGAAAGAGCATTGCCAGTGGCTTTCAATATCCCAACAAAACACAATGTAGAGTTTGAAAAAGCCATACCGGGTAGAGCCGTAATAGTGCCACTAGTGAGAGATGATGAGGGCATTGAGGTGTTCTGAGAAGGAGACGTTTGAAGTTGAGAGTTGAAGTAGGCGATAACACTCTCAATTTGGTCTTTAGAAAGATGATTGATGATATCCGGAGACTGGTTCTCACGAGTGCCATGATGAGGAAGAGACACTTGAGCAACCACCGGTTTTGAATTTTGTTGAGGTCTAGGAGCAGCAGATGGCAAATTCTTCTCTGGCTGTTGTTTCACCTTATGCTTGAAGCCAACGGGGTAACCATGAATCAGATAACACGTCTCAATAGTGTGACCGGAATAACCACAATGAGAACAAAGAGGACGGTTGGAATTTGGTTTCCCATAGGTGGAGGCAGCAGCGTTGATAGAGGGCTGAGCCGAGTCGGATACTGCAACTTGAAAAGCACCAGCGTTGTGAACGGGATTGATGGTTCGCTGGCTGTGATCCTGATCAAGCAGCTTGTAAATCTCCGAGAGCTCAGGAACATGTTTCTTCATGATGATTTGGCTTCGAATAACTGCATAGCTATCGTTTAACCCAGCTAAGAACTTAATCACCTTAGCATGATCGGCCTTCTTATTCATCGCCTTGCAACAATCACAAGAATGGCAAGTTTCAATGCATTCAGCACCATCGAGTTCATCCCATAGAGTCTTCAGCTTGGTATAGTAGGTAGCTAGATCATGAGAACCCTGCTGGAGAGTCCAAATTTGCTGGGACAAATGGTATGAACGAGGGAGATTGGTGATATGAAATCGAGTCATCAGATCATTCCAAATCTCAGATGCATCATTAAAGCGAAGAATACTCATATAGATCTGCTTCGAAACAGAGTTGAGAAGCCATGATTTCACCATTGAGTTACAACGAGACCAAATCCGAAAACTACGATGCAATTCAGTAGGCCGAGGAATAGATCCATCCACAAATGAGATCTTATTCTTAGCATCTAGAGAAATCGTCATCGCAATACGCCAATTATCAAAATTTGTACCGTCAAGGACCTCAGAAATGAGAGAAATACCGGGATTATCACCGCTTGTGAGGTGGTACGGTGAATGGATACTGTTTACCGATTCCAGGGAGAAATCCGAAGAATCCGGTGAGGATGGTGGCGAGACTTCAGGAATGGAAGCTCTTCGTGCTGATGACGTCGCTTTCGAAGCGCGTCGAGTAACTTTCCGTCCGATCACCATTGAAGTGGTTTTCGAGCTAAAAATGAAGATAAACCCGTGAAATTTGGTGAAACTTGGCGGAATAACCAAGGATCTTTCACGAAGAACCGGGAGAATCAACGATCGATTAAGGTCAAAACGAAGGGAAGAGAAGAAAATTCGGATCGAGTGAGCCGTTAGAGCTCACGCTCTAATACCATATTAGAGAACGAGAAGCATTGAAGAAGATAAGCTAAAAGAAGATAATCATTCTCATTAATCATTAATTGTGCGTTTACATTTCACTTTATACAAGAGATTAGTTCCCGGTTTACCATACACGATAACCGGTTTACATCATAATACATTTCATACGCTAATATAAACCGCTAATAGCAATGTAAAACCGCTAATAACCATCCACCAAGGCACCAACCAATGAAGCCGTGTCCAGCACAAAGTGCAGATAAACCAGAGAGCCCATCACACAATCAACATTTAACCGAAGCAACTAGACAAATCTAACAATCGTTCTAATAGAGACCAAAATCACAAGTGTGAGGACAGTTATTCACGCTAAGGTCAGGTTTGCAATTATCCAATCTTAATACATTGAGGAAAATAGTTGTCTTGTAAATTGCAAAGCTATGTAAAATAGAATTTTAGCTTAATGATATATATTGCATTGGTATGATTATATGATTAAACAAAAGATTATAACTAACGATATTTTCTTTTCTTTTTTCTTATTTGACTGTAGATTTGAATTCTTTACAAAAATGAAATAATTTTGATCAAGCTAGAGGTTGTGGCACACGAGCTCACTTCATCACCGTCGTACCACTTGAATCCGTCATCACAACATTCCTCCTGCAAATTAAGAGATACTACATTAAATTTTCAAATAAGCTCATGATCTAACACCACAGAAGTTTATGTCACATAAGAAACAACTCTGTTGTCATCTGAATCATCCTAGAAGCATTTTGGTCCTTCTGATTCATAGTATCCGGAGATAACATAATATTGCAAAATAAAGCAGATTACATCTTTGATATATCAATTGAAAATTTCATAACCTCAACCATCTACACAACACAACTCAACTCAATCCTATATGCACAAATTACTCACAGTTTGAAATGTTTGTGCAGTCCAAAAAATCTTCGGTGATGTTTTCTGAAAACTCTGGTTGTTAAGTGCATCACACCACTGTAGGTATCTACATCCCTTACATTCCCAAAAGTTTCTGGCTGGATTATTCCCATTGTTTGATCTTGTGAAGATCAAATAGACACCTCCACAGACGCACTTCAGATTTATCTACTAATATACCCAAAATCATTGCAACAAAAGAAAAAATGAAACATTTATGGTTTGTCTAGTTACCGGAGCGATCTTCTTTGCTATTATCTACTATTATCTACTTTCTCTTTTCTCTTTCGATTCTCTTTATTATATACTCTCTCTTGTTTTGTTCGGATCTCATTATATAGTAACATGGTGGTCTTCATGTTTCCAATTTGTTTGAGATTGCCTTTTTTCTCAGTTTCCCTTCTAACTAGGTAGGAATCACCTTTTTATCTACTAAACAGTACGAGACCCGATCCCGTTTTCTTTCCAACCAAATTAGTTTCGTCTCTTGCATAACACATACAAGGATATGAGGAAGAAGAAGGTTGATGACTTTTGCCACTTGAGCGTTAAAAGAAATAAACAAAAACTATTGTGTCAAATAGGTCTGGTTGAAATGGTAAAGAGTGATTACATATATTAGCAATGCCTTAATTATACAACTAAGAATATGCTTCTTCTGGAAATTAAAAAACAAGGAAGGAATAATAAAAGATGAGCCAAATAAAAACAAAAAAAAAGACTTAAAATTTATAAATACAATCATCCATCTTCTGCTGAAAAATTATACACATAAAATACCAAAATTCAATCATCAATCAATCAATGTAAAGACACACACACACACAAACAACATTCTTATCTTCAGTCCGATCCTCAACTTGGGTTAAGATCACGCGACGTTTGCCCTAGCCATCTGCTACACACAAATGGAGTTGTCAAAATCTGGTTTTCCATTGTTTAAGCTCCGTATTCAGGAAAAGTTGTAATGCTTATCATCAGCCATACCTTGAGAATAAGAATCTTCCAAGTGTGCTAACGTTGATATTGGAAGTAAACTATAACCCCCGACCACCCGGTTTGTGATAAATGAGGAGAGACGTAAGAGAATTGATTTGGCTACCTATGTCAACAAAGTGCACTTACCTTTTCGGTCAAATGTCTATAAGTAATTCCAGAGTTAAGCGTGCTTGGGCTAAAGTAGCTGAAGGATGGGTGACCTTCCGGGAAGTGGTTTCCGAAACCGTGTGAGTGAGGCCAAAACACGGGGAAAGTTCAGGTGTTGATTGCAGGGATAGTAATCAAGTCATTAGAGCCTCTCAAAAATAAAGACCGGCCGTCGGATAGGGATGAGGCCCACGGGCCGAGAGGGGCATGTGGACCCAGAAAGAGGGCGTGGGTGACTCACCGGGAGGGGCGGTCAGGCGTTATATAAACTCTTTGCTTGCTTTCTTTCTTTTGTTTTTTGCATCATTGTTCATTCTCTTACCGAACACACCATCGCCATGTCTTGCAGTTCTTTCACCGACACTTCCTTTGTACTGTGTCAAGATTTTCCGAGCTTCATTAGATCAAAGTACTCATAATATGACGATTGACAATGTGTCTTCTTTCACAGTTTCTCATACCTTCCCAACTGTTCAATCTGTTTGGCAACAAATGCTTCTCAAGAACCAGGCTTTTCATGTTCCATCTTCACTAAGGATCTCAATACTCTATGTCCAACAGATCCTTTTGAGTCGTCACCCCCAAGAGCCTACATCATTTGCAGCTTCTAACTCAACAACGAAACCTTTAACTCATTAAGAGAATAATGAAGCTAAATGTTCATAGATATATCGGAGTTTCACCTCTTTTAGGGACGGTAAGAGCAATAGTGACAACGATGCACACAATGATGGCAAGTTGGAGTCATCTTCATCATCATCACTCACTTGTTGTGATCTTACTGCATTATAATGTTGGAATTAATGTTGTGATGCCAAGTTGCATAAATTAATTATTGTTTGATTGTTTAATACTTTAATTTATACTCTCTCTGTTTCAAATTAGTTGTCGTTTTGGCAAAATGTATCTACAAATATTTGGACGTAACTGGACATGCTTTTGTATTGCAAATACATCCAAATAATTGCAGATACATTTTCCCAAAACGACAATTAATTTGAAACGGATGGAGTATTAAGTAAATATTTGTTTGATAAAAAACTTAACTTGAAAAGTTATTGATGTTGAATTGAAAAAGAGACACTTGTCAAAAATTTAGAGTGACACATGGCAGCCTCGATTAAGTAAATATTTGTTTGATAAAAAAACTTAACTTGGAAAGTTATTGATGTTGAACTAAAAAGAGACGCTTGTCAAAAATTTAGAGTGACACATGACAGCCTCTATTAAGTAAATATTTGTCTGATAAAAAAAACTTAACTTGAAAAGTTATTGATGTTGAATTGAAAAAAAGACACTTGTCAAAAAATTAGAGTGACACATGGGAACCTCTCAAATAATGAGAAATAGTGTAACCTTATAATATTAGAATAGATAGATAGATTGATATTTGTGAATGTAAACACATTAGATATATTTTTTGGTATCTCTAATGTATCTAGGAAATTTTAAAATGTGATAAAATGGACATCGATTGGGTTGGATAGCCAAGGAGAAAGGGAGAAGAGCCTCGTTGATGCCGCTTTTGGGGAAGCCATTGAAAAAGAAGAATAGCTTGCATACAGAAGCAAAAGGGGAAGATTCTGGTGACGTTGCTGCGAGCAAGGAGATGTATCGGAGAAGAATGTTGATTTATGTAGGAATGTGAACAATGGAGTCTTACGCAAGGAACTGAGAAAATGTTAAGGAAACACTATATTGATTCCGATAACAAAGATACAAAGACGATCAGGAAGGTATCTCTCCTCCACCAAGCGACTTATCTCTCTTGATCCGAAGAACAGATTCTCCGATCAATCTCACTCTCTCTCTAAGTTGTTATTCAATTTCTGGATAATGTTGTAAAGTAAATGATACAAGTATTTAAAAGACTCAGCTTCCTTCTTCTAATCCTCTCGCTCAATAAGAGACTCGTCATTTCCGGTAATTGCTACACCGGTCTTCTTCCTCCTCCTTACAAACCGGTTAAGCAATCAAACATTACCCCCCTCGTCAAGACGAAGCTTGTCCTCAAGTTCAGGAAACTCTTGAAGCAGTTCCGATGCACGAACCCACGTCGTCTCATGTGCAGGAAGGCCTTTCCACTGAACCAGAGCCTCCAAACGCCCTCCAGTATCATAACGAGTCTCCAAAACTTCTTCCGGCTCAACAAACAACTCAGACCGCTGGGCAAAAGAATCGGGAAGTGGTGATATCTGATGACCAGAGCCTAATACCGGCTTCAACTGAGAAACGTGGAACACGTTATGAATCTTTGATCCCTCCGGCAACCTCAAACGATACGCCACCTGTCCGATGCGTTCCAAAACCTCAAACGGACAATAGAAACGGGCAGCTAACCTCTGATACAACCTCTTTGACACCGACTGTTGTCTATAAGGGCGCAACTTCAAGAAGACCTTATCTCCAATGGAAAAGGAAAGCTCTCTTCTATGCTTATCAGCATTATTCTTCATCCGAGCCTGAGCCATCTCCAAATGCTCCTTGATTGCTCGCAAAACTTCATCACGTTCACGCAACATTTGTTCCAACTCAAAGTTTGCCGTTGAGCCTTCCTCAAAACGCAACAAACTAGGTGCTTCTCGACCGTAGACTACGTGAAATGGGGTGGAGCCGATGGCGGTGTGAAAGTTGGTGTTATACCATAGCTCTGCCCAAGACAAGTACGTAGCCCACGATTTAGGGTGCGAAGAAGCGAAACAACGAAGGTAGGTCTCCAAACAACGGTTGAGAACTTCCGTTTGACCATCCGACTGGGGATGAAAAGCTGTGCTAAATTTCAACTTCGTCCCTGCCAGCTTGAACAATTCCTTCCAGAAGGAGCTTAGAAAAATTCGATCACGGTCCGACACAATCGACGCTGGAAAGCCGTGCAAGCGAACCATCTCCTGTATAAACTTGTTAGCGACGTCGCAAGCCGTAAACGGATGTTTAAGCTTCACAAAATGTGCAAACTTGCTCAGACGGTCGACCACAACAAAGATTACATTCACACCCTTAGAAGTAGGCAATCCTTCGATGAAATCCATTGACAGATCCTCCCAAATCTTGTTCGGAATCGGTAACGGTTGGAGAAGACCCGCAGGAGAAAGGGTCGAATATTTGTGTCGCTGGCAAGTATCACATTCAGTGACATACTTCCTAATGTCCGATATCATCTTCCTCCAGTAGAAAACAGTCTGAATCCGCTTCACTGTTTTCAGAATGCCTGAGTGACCACCCTCTACACTTGTGTGAAACTCATGCAGAATCAAGGGGATCTTTGAAGAAGTACGTGGAATTACTAACTTCCCCTTGCGAAACAATCGTCCATTCACCACTGTATAGTCCTCGTTGTCTTCCAAACCCTCCAAAACTCTCTTAATGCGGTTCTGAATCTTGCCATCATCCTCAATCTCTTTATAGATGTCTTGGATTTGGAGATTTGCAGGAACAGTGATCGACATCAACTCCATAGCGTTTACACTGATTGGTGCAGGAACAATTCTCGACAACCCATCTGCTGCCTTGTTCTCCACTCCGGGTTTGAAGATAATGTCAAAATCATACCCCAACAGTTTAGTCAACCACCTCTGATAATCCATCGAAACCTCTCTTTGTTCCAGCAGAAATTTCAGGCTCTTCTGATCCGTGTGTACCACAAATTTCCTTCCCAACAAGTAGTGCCTCCATTTTTGTATAGCCAAAACAATTGCCATTAGCTCGCGCTCGTAGATCGGTTTGACTTGATCCCTTGCAGATAAACCTGAGCTGAAGTATGCAATAGGTCTTTGGTTTTGCATCAAAACTGCTCCCAAGCCATAGTCGGATGCATCAGACTCGACTACAAAGACCTCGGAAAAATCAGGTAAGGCCAAAACCGGTGCTGACATCATTGCTTCTTTCAGTTTTTCAAACGCCATTTGTGCACCGTCACCCCAATCAAACTGATCCTTCTTTAGTAGATCTGTTAAAGGTCGTGCAATAGTACCATAACCTTTAACAAATTTTCTGTAATACCCCGTTAGACCCAGAAATCCTCTCAGTTCTTTCACCGTCTTTGGAACGGGCCAATTCTTCATTGCTTCTGTCTTTGAAGGATCCGTGGCCACACACCTTCTTCAGAGATAATATGCCCGAGATACTCAACTTGTGATTGCCCAAACAAACACTTCTTCCGATTCGCAAACAACTGATGAGTGACAAAAATGTCTGGTACCGTAGCGAGATGAGTCACATGTTCCTCGATGTTCGCGCTGAAAACCAATATATCATCGAAGAACACCAGAACGAAATCTCCCAGAAAAGGTCTCAACAGTTCATTCATGAGTGCCTGGAAAGTCGCTGGTGCGTTTGTTAACCCAAACGGCATCACGAGGAACTCATAATGTCCATTCGTCGTTCTGAAAGCCGTCTTCTCAATGTCTCTCTCTAGCATGCGTATTTGGTGATATCCTGCTCTGAGATCCAACTTTGAGAAAACTCTTGCTCCATGTAACTCGTCCAGTAATTGATCGATTACAGGTATCGGAAATTTGTCAGGAACTGTGGCTTTGTTGAGTGACCTGTAATCAATGAAGAAGCGCCAACTCCCATCCTTCTTTTTGACTAACAACACCGGGCTTGAGAAAGGGCTCTTACTCGGCCGAATCGTTCCTGCTTCGAGCATTTGGGCTACTAACTTCTCCATTTCCTCCTTGTAAGCGTGAGGGTACTTATAGGGTCTCACACTGATAGGGCCTGCTCCCGGAATCAACGTGATAGCATGTTCTCTGTTTCTGATAGGCGGTAACTGAGTCGGCGCTGCAAACACCTCTAAGAACTTATCCAATAACGTCTGAACTTGCTGTGGTATCTCAGAAACAGCTTCCACCTGATTCAATTCACCTGCTTCAATGTCCCATCCAACTAACTCCAAGCAACTCAGCGAGTGATTATCTTTAAACGAGCGACCACTGGATTGAAGAGCTGGATCGCCAAACAACGTAATACGCTCTCCGTTATACGTGAATGACATTTCGTGTTTGTCCCAGTCATGCTCGCATTTCCCCAAAGTTCTCAGCCAATCAACGCCTAGGATAATCTCTGCATTTCCCAACTCCAGAACTACTAAATTCATGACAAACGCATGTCCTTGTAACTCCAAGGAGACGTTTCTGCAAACGCCTGTGCCATTGACTGTAATTCCCGTGCCCAATAAAATCTCGAGCTTTCTGTTCCTAGCAGGGTGTAACTGGGTTTTACTTAGAACAGAAGGATCAATGAAATTATGGATGGCACCACTATCAATCATCACTACTAACTTCACTCCACCAATATCACCCCACAACTTCGTAACCACTGGTGAGTCAAGTCCCAAATATGAGCATAGAGATAGCTCCATTAAAACTGGACTCGTCTCTGACTTCTCTTCAAAACCTTCCATCCAATCTTCATCTGTAATCTCCACCAAGTCCTCATCAATCACAGTAAACACCTGAAGTAGCATGTTTTGGCATTGATGTCCTCTCATCCATTTCTCTGGGCACTTGTAACAAAGGCCCAGTCTCCGCTTCTCTGCCATCTCTGCAGGACTCAGTTTCACCATTCCACTATGGTTCTTGCCTCCACTGCTCTGCCACGGAGGTTTGTTCTTCTCCTGAGTCACCAAGCTTTTGTTTTGCTCAGTTGAATCCACATTCCCTGGAGAATTGTACTGGGAAGAAGAACGCAACGGAAACAACGTTGAACTACGTCTTGATGGATTCACTGACGCTGCCATAGCTCTGCAGAACTGACTACCCTCCATTGAGATCACGGTTGTGAAAAGGGCAGATAATCCTTTCGGCTTTTGCATCTTCACAACTTCTTGCATCTCAGGTTTCAGTCCCAAATAGAAAACCAACTCCAGATTCTCTTCTTCGACTCCCGTCACAATTGTTGTTAACTCTTCAAACTCATTCACATAATCCGCTACTGAACCTCTTTGCTTCAGAGCAAACAATCTCATTCGCGGATTCTCTTCTAACTTCTGATTGAATCTAGGGATCATCCTTCTTTTAAACTGACACCAATCACTGAACGGTTCTCTCTGGATCTCTCTGTTGAACCAATGTAGTGCCGGTCCTTGAAGAGTGATGGATAACAGATCCAAACGATCTTCATCGTTATATTTCCCCAGACGGAAAAACCTCTCTGCTTGAGAAATCCACAAATACGGATCTGTTCCGGCGAACGCCGGTAGCTCAATTCGCTTCAACATGTTATTACGGTTCTCTAAAACTGAGCTACATTTCCGATAACCTAGTGATTCTCCAGGATCCGGTGGAACAGAATCACGTACCTCACGATCATCGTTGTTGGTGATGTCGTGCGATTCCGATGAGACGGTTCCGGATTCCGATTTCCTTCGATCCGCGACAACGATTCCATGATACGCGATAGGTTTCGATCCATCGCATCCATACGATCGGTGACAACGTTATGAGCCTCTTTGAGCTGATCCCAACCACCTTGCATCTTATCGACTCGATCTGTCAACGCCGCTACAGTGCCGTGAAGAACGTCTGCCAAATCGTCGATTTTCCCCATTCTGATTCGCGAATCCGATGAATCACCGCACCAATTTGTTATGGAAACACTATATTGATTCCGATAACAAAGATACAAAGACGATCGGGAAGGTATCTCTCCTCCACCAAGCGACTTATCTCTCTTGATCCGAAGAACAGATTCTCCGATCAATCTCACTCTCTCTCTAAGTTGTTATTCAATTTCTGGATAATGTTGTAAAGTAAATGATACAAGTATTTAAAAAACTCAGCTTCCTTCTTCTAATCCTCTCGCTCAATAAGAGACTCGTCATTTCCGGTAATTGCTAAACCGGTCTTCTTCCTCCTCCTTACAAACCGGTTAAGCAATCTAACAGAAAATTGCTTGTTAATCAAAAGTCGGCGTATATAAAAACAATATTCCAAAGAAAAATATGAAAACAAAAGTTACTCCCATTAGCTAATCTTATGCTGTAAATGTGTCTACAGAAAGATGTTTTTACATTACAGACATAAGTGAAAGAAGAAGGTTTTGGAAAGTGTTATAGATTACTCAAATCTCAGTCACAAGGTGTGAGTTTCTTGTTATACCAGCACCACGAGGATTGTCGTCTTTCCAGTCATCGAAAGCTCTAGCTCTAATCACAGCTTCCTCGTCTTCGTCCTTTTTTTCTCAGAGGTTTATCATTGTACCATGACGTGCTTGCATCTTCAATGGCTTTTCTAGTCTGCTCTTGCCAATCATTCATTACTTTCATCTCTGTTAACCAAGCATCCTCTATGCTCATTCTCGGCATCCTACAAAGAGAGCATTTCCAACAGATGAATAGCCTGCAACGAAGCTTCAACCATCAGGTGAAAAAGCAACATCTCGTGAGAAACCCATTCAAAATGATTTTTTAGACAAACCTTACAAACAGCCAAGCTCAGTGTGGAGAGCCACGCCTGCATATAACACAGACTCAGCAGAAACATGGAATTAGCAAGTGAGTGCAACAAAAGTTGGACGAACCAACCGACCTCTCTCTCTCTCTCTCTCTCTTCTTCACCAGCTTCAACTGGCGTCGACAAGGTAGCTGCTTTACTTGATCGCTCCTTCCTCTCTTTAATTTCAACGAGTTTTGACTCTGCAGCCTTTTCACATTTGAAACGACCGTGGTCAAAACTCAAAAATGTAACTTGTCAAACACACACTACAAAACCTCGCATTAGAACTATGATCCAATTGGTCAATCTCTGATCGTTTATTTTCACTTCATCAGAAAAGAATTGTGTGTTTATTGGAAACAATCCTGCTGCAGCTCTCAGAGATTCAACACTCACTCAGAATCGCTTCTCTCTCTTTTCGCTATTACATGAGATTGATTAACAGTAGTAATACATCCACCAAGACTAGAGACACATCCTTTTCGGAGACCCTTTTCACCTTCTCCATCATTCCCTCTCTCTGTCTACTTTACATGTACACTCGACTCACATCCTTTTCCCCATTCTTGCAAACCTTCTGGCTACTCCGAATATCACCGCCTTAGTCAACAGGCCTTTGTCCAGTGTACAGGCAAGCGCGATCGCACCTCCAACCACTAGTATCTTGGGTATGTTTTTCCCCGTCGGCTTCTCTCCTCCTGTAACCTCTTCTTCCGTCGGATCCCTCTCGTTCATGAACCTCTCCGCACTCACTTTGGTGTTGATCTGAGCCATTTCTGCGCTCGGTGATAAGCCTGCTCCTGCTGCTCTGGCCTTGTGGTACGCACGTAGCCCAGGCTCTATCTTCTTCACCGCACCCCACATCCCCTGTCTCACCCCGAGCTTCGCAATTTCCCAAGGTATCCCCATATCTTCGTGGTGAAACAACATGACCTCGCATGATGTCATCTCACCATCCCCTCTTCTCGATTCAACTACACACAAATGACAAAACAATATTAAGGTTTATAAAGCTAACAGAGACAAGTTGCCTGCTTAAGTAGATGACAAATCCTAGTATATACCTGCACGAATGCACCAGCTTGAATAGTATAAGTCGACACGCCGTGGCTTGCTTTGCCTTGGTACACTAGGGTATTGTACTCCCTGCAAACATAATACAATAAAAAAGTGGATCAACAATATATCTAACCAAAGAAGAACGACATATCTAACAGCTCTCCACTAGTTTAAATTTGATGAGTAGTGAATGCACATTACCTTTGTAACGCAGTAATACACTCGGCCCGCATCCCAAATTCGACGCCCTATAATATACTCTCTGTCGCTACAGAAGAAGGGGAACTGCAAAATGCAATTTTGCTCCGGAGTCAAGATATATATATATATAGAGAGAGAGAGAGAAGCAAAAAACGAGAAGAAAGAACAAACCTTGCGCACCCATTGGACAACCATAGTGCCAGTGTCCTTGCAAGCCTCGAGGGTAGAAGAGTACAAAAGCATATCATCCCACTTGGAACGGAACTCGTCATCCCAGAAGAAGTCCCTCACCATCTCCGGAGTCGTATCCTCAAACACTGTTCTGCTACGGTACTGGGGAGGCCCGTTCTGCCATCGTATCATATGTATGTGTTAACACACTTGTATACTGGTAATTTGAAATTGAAATTGAATTATCAAAGTTAGAAAGGGTACCTCAGGATCTCGCCTCCAAGCTTGATATGAGAAGGTGCGAGTTGAGCGGTCCATCATTTGAATCCAAGCAGGACCGCCATCTTTGACCTCAACCAGCTTCCATAGATGCCTAAAATCATCGTCCGTTACAAACCCAGATTTCACTTTCTCGGTCTCGGGACAAGGGCTGCAACACAAAGCAGTGTGTGTGAGAAAGATAGAGAGAGAGAGAGAGATAAGGAAGAGGGAAAGTGAAGGTGGGAATCAATCAAAATTACCTGGGAAGAGAGTGGGAATTGCTTCTGAGGATGGTAGTGGGAAGCTCTAGGAGGTTGTTGAGAAAGGTGGAGAATTTCGGAGAAGAAGAGAGTTTATCATCATCATCATCTCCGGTGAGGTACGCCCACTTGGGCCTCCATACCCAACCCACCAAAACCCCGACAGCCACAGCAATCCAAAGCGGAGCTACGAAAACCAAGAGGTCAGCGTAACCGAGGCTGTGGGACTCTGCAAACAGAGAACTCAATCCCATCTTCACCCCCTCCGAGGCTCTGAATCTGATTGAATTCTCCGTCAAAGCGTCGAGTAGAGAAGACGGAGATGAAGCAAGGGAAGAGCAGGAGAATAAAAGAGAGAGAGAGAGAGAGAGAGAGAGAGAGAGAGGATAAGGATTTGGATTTGGATTAGGATTTGGGAGAGACGATGGGATTACTGTAGGCCCGATTTTCGCCGTTCGATGCAATCTTTCTCTCACACCTCTCTGCCTCTCGTTTCAGTTTCTCTTCTCTGACCACTTTTATATACATTTTTATTTCTTTATTTTTTTCTCCAACTACAGATGATGAAAATCGGATAAAACAGATTAATTTTGTTACGGTCGGTGTACGCCACGTGTTTCTCATTTGGTTTCTGTGGTCGCCGCATCTTTTGACCCCCTTCCTTCTTCCTCCTCCTCCTCGTTTGATTTATTATTATTACTGTCTTTCACCGGCCAAGTCTCCGCATTGTATCATTCAATGTAATTACTGAAAACTCAAATCGCAACAGAAGTAAATTTGGTCTACCAAATCTGTATAATACATATCATAACTCTTTGCATCAAGCACTCTATAGAAACACATACACGAGAGAGAATCTGCAAAACCTTCTCACAGATCTTGTTGGGTTTTCATTTTTCCTTCCAGAGTTTACTTGATCCGGTTCTTGAAGAGAAACTCGACGTTTCTCATATTAGACTTGCTCCTTCGAGCTGTGATCTTGAATACGGCACCCTCCCCGAGCATCCGTTGCACCACCCTCGTGATGTTCTTCGTGTCATCAATGCCCAGATGGTGACTTCCCATGACCCTAATCCCACATTGCCTCATCATTGACAACATTCCTCTCGCCTGTCATGTTAGTCCACTATTAAATGAAGTTTATAACAAACACACACAAGGACGGTGATGCACATAGTGATATACATCCACAACTTACCTCACGTCCGTAGAAATTCAAGTAGACGTCTTTGAGATTAATCCACTCCATGAAATACTGTGGAAGATTGATACTCGACACCACGCATTGCTCAGGAATCTTTGTCTTTATATCCCAATTCCCACTGACAAGATTAGGGTTTAACTAATCAGTATCCAAATACGGCAGGAACTCTAAAGAACTACTCAACGATTAACACAACAAGCTCATATCTTGTAGTTAATTCTCACCAGGTTACAAAAGCTGCATCGTTCAGAGCACCGTTTGCTTGTTTACTCCACAAGCTATGCTCAGCTAACCAGGCTTCAAACTCCTCAACAACTTGCTTAAACGGAATAGCTGTGTCATGCCACACGCTGCAATTCGACTTTGCCAAAGTTAGTGCGATGGTCTCAGAATCCAGAGAGTAGAAAAAGAGGTGTTTGGAGAAGTTGGTGAACTCTAAACCAACTCCTATGATTAAGTATCTATCTTTTTGGTAGCAGAATAGTTTTAACTATAGCGTTAATGCAACTAGAACAAGACATTATACGCATTGTACTACACTCAAAAAGTAAGTTGGAAGTAGAGCATACCGATCAACACCGAGTTCTCCGTACTTGCCTTCGATGTATTTGTTGATTGCTTCCTCGCTCATTTTGGTGGGTCTTACAAACCTTATCAAGTATAAAAAGAAAAGACAAATAATCAACCACATTGTGAGCTAAAAAAACACAAATCCTAGCTGTTCTTCTTATCTCTAGCTAGGCACTTACATCGTACTTCAATGTCACACAAGAGCTAAACCATTAAAAACCTCATGACATTTGAAAATTACGAGAAATAGTGTCTTTGAAGATAAGAAGCTGTGCTAACCTGTGGAACAAGTCTACGACTTCCATAGTTTTGGCGTCCAAGATCAAAACGGGAAACTCAAGAATCTCAACTTTTCCTTCCAAGTCAAGCACCAAGAGAAAGTCGAATTCTTGCGGCTTCTTTCTCTCGAGATCAGCCGCGGTCACTGGAAGTTCCTTGGAACAGTCATGGTTGAAAATCTCCAAATGTGCAGGATCATCCATCTGACGTCACCAAAATAAGAATTATTATTACCTATGATTCGCGATTATTAACGATAGTCACCACGAAAGGAAAATCGCATTCAGACATTCCATCGAACAAGTCGCGGACATTGTATAGTTAAATAAAAAAGAAGAAGAATATGCTCATCAAATGCGCTTGTCTAGGAACAACACAGAGCAGGAGCCAACCAAAAGCCAAGCAAGACAGGAATTTTAATGTCACTGCAGCAATAACACGATTTAGCAAGAAAGACGAGTGGCAAAGTGTTTACCTTTGTGCACTTGCCGTGAGTGTGATACAAGCACATGGGTCTCCACCTCGGATTTTCATTTGCTTCCATCAACGGAAAAGAAGGAGGAGAAGAAGAAGAAGAAATATCAGACGGAGAAGGAGACGAAGATACAGAATGCGAAGACTTGCACAGGATTCGGTTGGTGCGGGCTAAAGCGAACGTGGCGGGATAGAACTGGCTTGCACGAAAAGGACTAATTCTACACAACGACATCCTCAATGCAGAGTAAGCGAACGCCATTGTCGCCGAACAGCATCAAGAGTGACTGAAGACGCCTCAAGTAGTAGAGGGAGATCAACGATTGGCGGGGATTGGGAGGTCAATCGGTACGATATAACCGATCCAAATCGTACCGAAATTGAATTTAACCATCCCAATCCCACACAAACTACAGCCAAAACCAAAATTAAACCGAACATAACTGTAATAATGGTCAAATTTCATTTGATTTCTGCATTTCATGAAAACTGAAATTTGTTTTTGACTAGCAATAGAATTCAGAAGTAAGAGCGATCATTACTATTTACAGTACATCCAAAAGTGAAACAAATATGCCGATCGAGTGGACTAAAAAGAGAACAAGTTGTGAAGTTGAAGAAACAAATGGCATGAAATTTTGCAGTGCCTAAAGAGATGTTATCTTAATCTTCATCGATAATTTCAGTGAAGTCTTCAATCACATCGGCCGTGTTAGTTTGTTTGTTCATCGAGCGCATCTCCTCAATTTCAGGCTTCAACATTGAGTCACAAACTATTTTGCTAATCTGCAGTTTACCTCGGCAACCTGAGAGGATTTAGAAATCAGCATAGAAGAACAAAAGGAACGGTCTTTAATGAACAACGTCTTAGCAACAAGTAATTACCAGCTATAGGACATTTCGCATTGGTATTGTTGCCTATGTAATGCATGATTGATGCTTTGTCGTAGATGTGCCTGCAATCCACACTGCAACCAGAGAAGAATCACAGAGACTAGATATCATTTCACCGCACAAATTGTGATTAGTTCTACTGATACACGAAAGATGATGATCCATTGTACCTGCGAACTGGATCTAGTATTTCAGTGATGGGCTTCCCGCTCACAGGGCATGTTATGTTTAGGAGAGGGCACTGAGTACTGGTCATCACAATGTCTTCTTCGTCTTCACCAGGCATTGGCTCACCTGCATGATGAACGTTCTGCAGAAAAACAGCATTATTCTGAAGAGTTAAAAGAGGAAACTTGAGGAGCTAATAGATGTATGATATAGAACGAAGGGCATACCCAAACTGCTTCCTTGAACTGGCGCATCAACTGGCCATTTTGTGGCACTGAAGAAGTAGTAGCCTTGAGCTTTGTGAACTCATCGTCAAACAACTTTTCAAAGTCAGTTAGCTGCAGTGATTAGAGTGAGTCAGAAAGCAGGGTTGCTAAAAACTAAAAGTAAAGCAACCGAATAAGCATTTAGATTGTGTTTACCTGTTCTCCAGGCTGGTACCTAGTGGCAACAGATTGAATTGCTGACGAACGATGAGCACAATCCCTATATAAATCCAACAGCTCAGCCACAGAGTTTTCAAGCTCTTTGACCTGTGGAACCCAAAAATATCGACAGAGATCAAGGAAAGAGCCTGTGTGAATGGTGGAAACAAAGAGACAGATCCAACCAGTTATAGAGAAGTCACTGATGATTATTAGCCAATACAAACACTAAAAGGAAAGGAAACGGCCTTCCATTGAAGTTCTTAAAGCAAAGAAGCTAGGAAATTACATGCCAATTCCATCTCAACTCAAAAAATCGAATCCAGAATAATAACACACCTTGTCAGTTTGATTATCTTTCTCCAATTGAACAGCAATGTTCTTCATCATAGTCACAGCTTTACGGATGTCCTGCAAAAAATGTAAAACAAAACCAATTCAGAATAAAAACAGCGAGCATTCAAAGAGAAAGCACCTTTTAGGATAACAAAAACCAAATTTGCAAAGAGGAAAGCAAAAGCAAAAGAAAAAGCACATTTTAGGATAACTTTAACCAATGAGAAATCAATCATCCCCTTGTTTGCTTCTTCTAACTAGTCAAACCAATCATCAGCCGAAGCTATTATCTCTCAATTCCTCAGAAATCGTGCATTGTGCAGGGGTTATAGTATTAACATCAAAAAAAGGGGGAGAAATAAGAGAAGGTGCTTCGAACGAAAAAATACTCACAGCTATCGAGGAATTGTTATCCGACACAAGAACCAACGATGCGTTCTGAATTCTCCCGGCAATTCCGTCGGAAGAGGACGTCGATGCCATGATTTTCGCTCGAATTCTCTTCTTCAGAGGTCTGTTTTGGAGGGAGAAGTAGAAGACGGAGAGAGTCGGGGAGTGAGAACCTGAGATATAGACGACGAAAAAACGAGGTTTGCTGAACAAACTGCGTGCCGTCTTCTGCTACTGTAACCGACGAGTAGTTAGTGCGAATTTACTTCTGCTACTGAGACCGACGCGTAGTTAGTGCAATTTAAAAACGTGGAAAAGGCAAAAGGTTCCCGGACAAAAATCCGTAGACCAAACGGCGTCGTTTGCTTTATACAAACTGCGTGCCGTCTTCTTTCACTCTACCCGACACGTAGTTAAGACTATTCAAACATGTGGCAGATCTTCGAAACGTTGTCGTCTCGCTCCAAATCCAATCCGCCTGCTCCGGGACTCGTCGGAGTCGTCGTCGAAGCTAAAGGCTTTTGTGTCCGTATTCTAAAAAAAATACATAGCTTCCATCTTCTTCGTCTATCTTCACTGATCGTTCATTTTGGTTTGAAAACATGAGTGATGTAGACGGAGACTGGAATTTCCATCTCAGAATCCTAAGCAATAGCGCGCGGGATTCCACGGATCCAGCTTCTGATCCCTCTGTACTACAATCAGTAAGCATCTTGTGTGTGTGTGCATATATTTGAATGTATATCTCTATGAATAAAAGGATTCATTGATTGGGTTTTTTGTTTGAATGTGTATGGATAAGGTGAAGAAGCTACATGGGTTCTGTAAATTGGAGAAATCAGATGATCTGGTGGCTAGAATTTACCCGCAAATCAATAAGGTCTTCCACCGTTCGCTTGCTTCACTCTCTCAGTCCGAGTCCGGTGCCGCTAAAGGCCTTCTCTTGCTAGTATGTTACTCTCCCTCAGAGTTGTTAAAATCTATGGTTTTTGGTCTATCGTATGGTGCATTGAAGGATTTATCTGTTTGTGGTTTTAGGCCATTCTTCAGTTTTTCCTTGATTTTGGAGATGTGGTTCTGCACGATGCTGACCCAAGTTTGAGGACATTCTTCCGCTCGTGCCTTAGCCGGTACGGATTTGCTTTCTCTTTGCTACAATCACTTCATGTAGATAGGTAATTCTTGGGTTATTTATAAAGTACATTTGCTCATCTTGTCATGATTTTACTTGTAGTGAGTTCTCAGATGCTGCTGTTGCAGAGGCAACTTGTGAATTCCTTATCGAGAACAAGAGAAAACTCTTAGCGTCTTTCCCAAACTTACTTCCTCAGGTATAATAAAATCCTTATTGTTTAAGTAAAGTCTATTCCGTTTATATTTCCACTGCTTGAGCATTGAAGTCAGAACATATGTACCACCTTTCTCCATCTAATACAAGCAAATTGTATTTGCAGTTTTTCCCGTTATTGCTTAAGCTCATTGCCTGGAATTGGGAGAAGTAAGCTGAAAATTTCTTGCTATGTTATTGGTTCTTTCTTTTTATAAGTTATCTAATCAATCACCTCATGGAAATTTTCAGGTTGGAGAAGTCCTTCCTAAAGATATTTCCGGGACTGATATCACCCGGGTCATTTCTTCCTCTGTTTCCTTCCATTCTAGACTTGCCAAGTGAGTCACCTTGTTAGAAAAAAATACTACTCGAGTTCGTATATTTTTCTGTACTCTAATTGTGCCTCACAAGCTGCTGGTTTGGTACTTTCCATGGTTTTTGTATTTCCTCTCAGCCTAATTAAATTTATGAGTATTCTGCGTACTTACTATCTTCTTGTTGATGTTTTTTTGCTAGTATTGGTTGTGGCATTAGAAAAAGTGGAAAGGAGCTCGGGGTCGGGGTCAAGGGTTGGAGGTAGCATTGCTTCAATCCAGAAGAGTGCAGCTCCGGAGGTCTTATATTTCATAAAAAACATATACTTGGTAGACAGTTCTCAGATAGTCAGTCAATGACAAGGATCCCTGTGATTGCAGATGCTTCTTGCCCTTATGGATGAAGCATATACTGGTTCAACCATCGGGGATGGTGGGGATGACTCAGAATCTGAAGATAGTAATACAATAGATGTAGCTGATCCTCTGTTTCTAGAGCTTCTCAAGGATGAAAATGATGGTCTAGCTGTATGCCTCCTGCCACTATTTTTGCTTTTTTATTAAGTCCCAACTGAAAACAGTTCTTATAAAATAGTAAACTCTAGAGGCTATGTGACAGTTGGTAGTTTTTTGTTTCCTGATATTTTAGTCAACTTTGTCCTGCAGGAAAGACACAGGGCTTCTCCTGCATTAAACGCAGCGCTGCAGGCGGCTGCAAGTGGGCCTCGGTCAGAGAGGATGAAGCAGACACTTAAGATTACTCCCAGACTTCTTGATGTCTACTTTAGCGTTACGTTGCGAGATGCAAATGACTGTAAGATCATCTACATAGCTTTATTAGCTGCTAAAGGACGATAATTCCCAATGTACTTTGGCCTCCGACCACTATTGTGTCTGTTCATGATTGTGTTGCTTTCTCTTCAGTTCTTAATCTTTTTTTGCAGCTTTGATCTGTGCATTAATTCCTCTACTCATGACAAGGAACTCAACAATGTTTCCGGATAAGAATTTTTCTCATGAGGTATCACGCATGCTCTCCTCTTGATCTGAGTGGATTATCCATTGATATTCAGCTGTTCTTCAATCTGTATTGGTACCATATTGAACCTTATCTTACAGAGATATGGTATATGTATACAGATCCGTAGGAGGCTACTTGAATTCGTGTTAGCTGCATTTCAGAGGTCTCCAAGTTTCATTTCGCTGTTGAAGGTAATTTCTATTTTTTCCTTTTTCCTTTTTTGTTATATGATAGTCATAATAGTAAGGATAAATTCACACTGCATTGGTGAATATGCAAGTCAAAATGACACCATCTCCATGGATTACAGTCTTATAATCACCGTATATTTCTTAAGTAGTAATTCACTGGAATCTATTCTTGACATCTTACATAATGCAGAAGCCTATAATTGACCGGCTTGGAGAAGCTTACGATGACCCTGCTAAGGTGAGTTTCTAATATTATAATAGATGTCTTGTAAGGTTTATCTCCTTTAAACATTTTCTTCCACAGAGGGAGCTAGCTTTACAACTATGTTGGGCGATTGGAGAGTATGGTGGTGGTGGAGAATCACACAAGGATGCTGCTCGCGAGCTCTTTGAGAGCTTAGAGTTGCTTCTATATGAGAATCTCTCATCAAGGTATTGTTAGCTTTTGTTATATATCATCATTCCGCATTTGCAACCAGAAAACAGGAATGATATTTACACCAGTTTTAAAATTAGCCGCTTAGGTCTGAGGCAGGAATCTGGAAATGCTTCAAGAAAAACAACACAGTCGAGACTATTGTGTTTTGTAGTGACAGCTATCGCAAAGCTAGCAACATATCACCGGGAATTATTACCAAGAGCCCGTGTCGCCTTGGGGAAGGTACATGGAACATATCTAAAATCCACTAACACACTTTGCAATGGTCACTAAGCTTTAAAAAAATCTGAATTATACAATCATGTACATGTGTGTGTAGGTAGTTAGGTCTCGGATATCTGATGCAAGAGTTTGGAGACGAGCACATGATTACTTGGGACTCATGAACGAACCAGGAATCTGTTGGTCTGTGTTAGGACCTTCCCGGATTTCAGAAAAACGGTTTCCCGGCACGGTTAACTGGAGCGAGGGTGGTGAAAAAATGGTTGCACACATTCCATTTCACATTCTAAGTGAACAAGGAGGTTAAAGAGTTCTTATTATCTTCTCTCTTTATGAAAATGTGGTTGCAAGAAATGTAAAGTTGTGTGTCTTTTTTGTTTTGCAGGTCCTCCTTTCCATGACTTTGCTTTCTCTGATGTCATCCCCAAAAACTGATTAATCAAAGAAAGTGTCTTAAATTGTTTGTTGTTGTGAATAGTGAAACCCAAAAGGTAATATTCATTTGCTGTATGTTATAAAGTTATACATCTGCAATCTTTTTTTCTCTGCAGATGTACTTTTGTTAACCTTGAACATATTGGATAAATTTATTGCATGTTGGTGCAAACCGAACAGTTTAAATTGAATCCGGTTTTGATCTGGACTGGTTTTAATAAACTTTTCTTCTTTTAAAAAAGTAAAAACCGTATCCGACCTAATTATGACGAATTTGATCTCACCGAGTTTGATCTCTCTTTCTAATAAAATTCCAAATCAGAAAATGCCAAAAGAAAAATACTGAGGGTGAGGTGGGTCCCAAAGCTTTGCAGTAGACTCGAAAAACGACGTCGTAGAGTTAAGGCCGGAGGGCGGCGGAGATGATTCTCTCCTCCACAACTGGATTCATACGTCATTCGGCTTCTCTTGCCACCTGTTCTAATCTGTCTCGGTGCGCGAGTTTTCTCCTTTTCTCTCTTCTCATGCTGTTAAAACAACAATCCACAATTATTGCTTTTTTAGCATCATTAAATCTTTTCCTTATTTACTCGTTTCTTTTTTACACAAAAGAAAAATGAAACATATATTACTTCTCTAATTAATCAACATAACTTATTGAACTAAAAGTGTAAAACTAATTAACAATAAGTAGCTACCACACCAGCATGTAATTTGTTTTGTTTAAAAGTTTTGTACACATTTTTCTTTAAAATAATAAGTAGACTTTATTTGTGGGAATGCATAGAGGTGAAAAATAGCAGGAGAGGGGAAAAAATGAAAGATGCATGCAAAGAAAGGATGGGAATATGATTTGATGTAAAGCCTGTGACTCCTCCATAACTTTTCTCAATATTATTATTTTTTAATTTTGTGCGACGTTTCCTTGTGACAGGATAAGACGCGTCTATATCCCGTCCGTTCGTTTCTTATTCAAATTCTGATGGATGGATGTGATTTGCTTCTTATGATTTGATGCATCCATGCTCCTCTTGTTTATTTTTCCTCTTTTTTTGTTTTTTCTTGTAATAAAGTTTTGTCTTGAATATATTAATGCGTATAAAAGAATCTTATTCATGGTGAAGCCTCAGAAGATCCAACTAGTATCCAATAATCAGTAGAGTACTACTACTACTAATTCTAGTCTAATTTAATAAATTATACCTACTTTTTTGGTTTTGGGTGACGTAGAATCCCCTGAGATTTCCAGTCACGCACGCATTGCATGCTCAAAAGCCACTGTCCAATTATATTACCCAAGATCCTAATCCACATTTTAGCGATATTATAAATATGATATTATACACAAAATACATATTCGTTTTGCGTGGTGTATTGTACACATCAACATCAACTCTATCTGTCACTAGCTACTGTCAAATATCACATCAGTTGCTTGTAGAACAGGAGAAACACAGATCATTAAAAAAGGACCCTTTTTTCATTTCCCCGTCTTTTTTTCACTCTTCCTCGTCTCTTTATTAAACAACACATTGGCAAATCTAGGGTTTTGTTGAGCGCTTCCTCTTTGTGAGTGTGCCCACAATGGATATTGATGTGTTTAATGCTTGGGAGAGATCGAGATTTGAAGATGAAACCGTAATGCCACCTGGGTTTAGGTTTCATCCGACTGACGAAGAGCTCATCACTTACTACCTCCTCAAGAAGGTTCTCGACTCCAGTTTCTCTTGTGCCGCCATTTCTCAAGTTGATCTCAACAAGTCTGAGCCTTGGGAGCTTCCTGGTATGCCCACTAAACTCTGACAAAACCTTTATTAGCCCATCTCTCAAATCATGTCTTAAATCCTTGTTATAGCTCCAAGTTTCAAACTTTCCTCTGTTTAGGCTTCTTCTACTGTCTCAAAACTGTAAACCTTATTAGACCCATCTCTGGAATCATGTCTTAAATCCTCGTTACAGCTCCAAGTTTCAAACTTTCCTCTGTTTAGGCTTCTACTGTCTCAAAACTGTCATGGTTATATACTAGCAAGAGGGCCTTCTTGATGAATACATTGTTATAACTCTACGACAGTTTTTTAAGTGTTAAGAAATCAGACTTTTTTCATCAGCTCATAAGAATTTTAAGCTCTGTTTTATTTTACTTTTAACATTTTCCACTCTGCTTGAAACCATTTTGTGAGCAGAGAAAGCGAAAATGGGGGAGAAAGAGTGGTACTTCTTCACGCTAAGGGATCGAAAATACCCGACGGGGCTGAGAACGAACAGAGCAACAGAAGCTGGTTACTGGAAAGCGACTGGCAAAGACAGAGAGATCAAGAGCTCAAAGACAAACTCGCTCCTCGGGATGAAGAAAACTCTTGTCTTTTACAAAGGCAGAGCTCCCAAAGGTGAAAAAAGCTGCTGGGTCATGCATGAGTATCGCCTCGACGGCAAATTCTCTTACCATTACATTACTTCCTCCGCTAAGGTTCGAAATTTCAAATCTTTCTCTTTATGTTCTTTCACTTTTTTCTCTGTAAAATATTACTCAAAATGTTTCCTTTTCCACAGGATGAATGGGTTCTCTCTAAAGTTTGTCTTAAAAGTGGCTTAGTCAACAGAGAGACGAAATCGATTTCTTCGTCTTCCGTCGCCGGTGTCACTGTCAATGGCTCCTCGTCCACCGGATCTGTAATCGCTCCGATTATGGATGCCTTTGCGACGGAGCACGTGTCCTGTTTCTCCAATAACTCTGCTGCGAGCTTTCCTACGTACCTTCCAGCTCCACCACCGTCACTGCCACATCAGCAGCCTCGCCGCATCGCTGATGACGACGTGGCCTTGTTCGGTCAGTTGATGGATCTGGGAGCTGCTTCTGGACAGTTCAACATCGACGCAGCGTTTTTACCGAATCTACCTTCGCTTCCTCCGACGGTTCTTGCTCCTCCTCCTCATCAGGCATTCGGAGTGTACGGTGGCTCAGCCGTGAGTTGCTGGCCGTTTGCTATCTGATGATCGTTATGCGGTCACAATCTATCTTTAACTTTCGAGTAATCTTAGTCAACGAACAATAAAACTTTGCCTGGTTAATTAGTGGCTCGTATTAGTCTCGAAATTATCTTTTGGCTATCGCAGTTTCTTTTATGTACGTGTTTGTATCGTCTTTATGCATGTTCTTGACATGACTTCTATGTGAAATTTACCTTTTATTATCTAGTGTCTCCTAAAAAAGTAATTTAGTACCTGATTTATTAGTTGAAATGGTATGAACTTTGTAGACAACTGATCATTTTTAGCCAAAGTAATAAACAATACTATGAATTTGGTTTGATATAATTAATGGAGTTCTATTACAATGGTTAACACTTAATAGTAACATTCAAGAACATTTATTTACTGGGACAATGAGGATATTTGAGCTAGATATCAATATCGTTAGCTCTTGTTGTATTTCTTGCACATCAAATTTGATTCTTGACACCAATGTGCTTAAAATGTACCGAAACTAGCTAATATATTATTGTATATGAAAGATTGCTAACTGTGGAATTACGGAAACACTCGTTACTAATGCCCTTGAATCACTCGATATGATGTAGAAATGATCTCTACTTGATGCACAAATACTGAAATGTAGTACACAACAATGGTTTATTGGTTTGTGCATAAAACGCTGCGTTGTCGACATTTGAGATTGTATTTCAAGCCATTTTCCAAGTTTATGTGGGCCTGGTCATATTATTCGGTTGGGCCTTTGTATAGTTTTTTGCCGATTGCCACGTGTCTAATGAAAGTTTTCGTGTTCAACGGTTCAAGTAATCTTTCTTTTTTCCCAGAACAGTTCCAAATATAAAGAGCTCCTTTTCTTCTGGTCTCTTCTAACGAAGCAAAATTCTTTTCCGGTGAAAGCAGAAGAAAAAAAAATCGCCATGGAAGACGTTAACCAGTTGTTCGATGCTGCTTTCGAGTTCGCGAACTCTCCCGGTAACCAAGCTACACATTTACTCCGAGCTCTCCTAACACTTCAATTTTTTTTCTAATTCCGTCGTGATTGAAGTCCGACCACCGTTACGATTTTTCAGGTGCTCAGAGCGAAACCTCGGTTAAGGAACTCCTCGATCGCTTCCCTCTTCCCGTTATTTTCAAGTGATTCTTCTTCCTTCTACATTCGCTTTTCATTGCGTTCCGTTTTGGATTGTTTCTGATCTCGTGGTTTGGGGTTTATGGGTTAATTAGTTTATTGGTTCCATTGGAATTATTTTGAGCTCTATGAGATGGTTATAGCTTAATGAACATGTTTTTGTAACTGGAAATTCGCAATACTCGTCACTGCAGTGCTTTGCAAACTGATCCTGATATCCCAACTTTTGAGAAAACGCTTGTGACTTGCTTGGAAAGGGTTTTTAAGACTAAGTATGGCGCAACACTAATTTCTCAGTATATGGTAAAAGACTCACCGATCTCTACTCATACAATTGCTATATCTCGGAGTTTCGAGTTAATTTTCTCTTGGTGTTTGTTTGTTAAAGCCTGTTCTGCAAGTTGGTCTCAAGGCGGATTCTGCATCTGTGAAAACTCTGGCTTGCAAAACTGTGAGTGTCTAAAAAGTATCGGTTTATGCATACTCCATGTTTACCTTAAGTGTGTTGCTAATGGTGGAGTCTCGTTTTTCTTAAGGTCACTTTTCTCTTGGAGAATTCCGATGCGAACGATGTGTCCCCTGTTCAGCTGGTTGTTAGCAATGGCATATACCCTCTTCTGCTTGATTACATCATTAAAAGGTGAGAAGCCATGCTTATAGTTCTTGATTGTATCTTCTTTGGTTATTGTGTAGAGGCTTCGAATTGGTCTTGCGGGATGAGAATATGGCTTTAGTATATCTCCGCATAGTTGCTTTGTCTTAGAATTCATCATTGATGTGTAATTTGTTTCTGTAGCGATGATGATGGGGCACATGCTGCAAGTGAGACAATTATGAGCCTAGCACGCTTTCCAGATGCAATGGTCTGTGTTCAAACTTTGGTTTTTTTTTTTTTTTTTTGGGTTCATTGGCTAGCTCTTTTACAGCATCTAATCCTGCTACATGAAACTCAAAACTTCTTTTTTCACAGTCGGTAATTTTCCCTGCTGATCACAATGATGCTACACACCTTGGTAACATTGCTGGAAGGTGTTCCTCACTGGTAATGCGTTACTCTACTATAAAAGTTTTCCATGAAGTTCGTTTCTTGTTGTTGATTTACAATTTTGAATTTTCTAACTGTTTTTTTTTCAGGCACGAGTCCGGGTATTGGCTTTGATCGTGAAGCTTTTTTCGATTTCTCGAGATGTGGCTTCGGCAGTTAAGAACTCGGGGCTTCTTGATTTACTGGAGGCAGAAATTAAGGGTACAAAAGACACTCTTGTGATCTCAAATGTTCTGGAACTCTACTATGAGGTGATAATTCAGTTTCTTTCCTTTTGTTACACACAATTGAAAGGAAAATATGTAGAATTATGTTAAATGTTTGTGAATGAATAATGCTGAAGTTAATGGAACCGGAGCACAGTTCAGAGTTTGCACCAAAAACTTCACTTATTCAGCTGTTGTGTTCTATCATCAGGTACAGTCGCTGTAAAACTTTACTCATGTTTACAACCTATTAAGCTTGCGTCAGCTCACTCATCTTTTTTTTTTGCTCTGGTTCCTATCATTTGTGTAGTGATAAATCAGTGGAAACCTTTGTGAAGATAAGAGCAATGATGATAAGCGGCAGGCTCCTCTCGAGGGACAATATCTATGATGCCGTAGAAGAAGCTTGTAAGATTTTTATAGTTATTTGCCTTTATGCTATGGTCTAGTTTTCTTTTTATATGCTTTCCAAACAAGGACTTTCAGTGACTAAGTTATGCGGCAAGCAAAGATCCATTTTCACCTTTATACTGAATCCAGGTGTGAAGGCGTTAATTTCAGCTGTTGATGGAAGTCTGGAGACACCGGAGATGGATGATACGAATGCACAAGAAACTGCGCTTGATGCACTTGGTCAGATTGGATCAAGTAAGTAGCTCAGTTTTCTTTGACTCTCCGTTTACTCAGTGTTCTACTTAAAAGAGATTGTGATTTGGAATTGTGATTCATAAGACCGACTGAGAAGATAATGTTGTTTCTTGCATTAATGTACAATAGCAACACAAGGAGCGAGTCTAGTCCTTTCAGCTACACCTCCAGCTGCAAGACACGTTGTAGCTTATGCGTTTGATCATAATGCACATGGGAAACAGCTGGTTAGTGTGTTTCTTCTCTTCATCATTTGAAATTTCTGCTGATCATATGCTCTTTGAAAGGATTTTCTGAATACTCCTGTTTAAAGAGATCTTATTCTAACGATTAGGGATTAAAATTTTGTTTCATGCACAGACATTGATGAAATCACATGACTGTTTGTAAATGGCACTTGCAGGCTGCATTGCACGCCCTGGCATACATTGCAGGTGAAGCACGGCCTAAGAGCAGCAGAATAGTTGATGGAAAAGCTGAAGAAAGCCTTCGATGTTTGATATACGATGCTGCAGCGCAGAGCACAAAACTAACACCATCTGTGAGTTAAATTTGCTCTCTTGCGTCTTCTTCTTCTTCAGCTGTCCGTAAAACTATATGATTGATCCATAGCATGAACTAATATAGGCACATTGTGAAAAATTCGCAGGGTTTATTCCTCTCAGTTCTTCAACAAAGCTCAGAAATACGTCTCGCGGTAAATGAGATACATGTCATCTCCTTCCAACTCACTGAAACTAAACTTGTACTGAGATTGTGTCTGTGTAAAATGTCATTATCAGGGTTATAGAACATTAACAGCGTTGGTGGCTCGGTCATGGTGTCTGGTAGAAATCTTGGCTAAAGAAGAGATCATTAACATAGTGACGGACTCAACCACTGAAACTGCAAAAATAGGTAACTAATAAACATAGCGATGGCCTTTTCTTCATCAACCTCGCTGATTTATGAGTCTTAACTAATATCTCATAATTTTGACTCAGCAATGGAAGCAAGGTACAACTGCTGCAAATCAATTCACGAAGCTTTCTTGTGTAGTAACTTCGTCGATGACCCTCGTCGTCTGAAAACCGGTGAAAAGGTTTGGAGCTTTTTTTTCACTCTGCACTCTTAACCTTAAGAAACATGATCTTGTTGTATTAAGAGAAGCTTTCTGTGATATGTTTGTACTTTTGCTTGGATGTTGACATTGTTTCATTTTTTTTGCAGTTGCAAGAAGCTGTTCGAAGTGGACCGTATCTGTCGAAGAAATACAGAGGAGCACGACCTGAGGTAATGATGGCCGAAGGATTCTAATGAACATCAACTTCACCAAGAAAAAAAGTTTTAAACTTCTTTCTCCGTTGTGTTCGTTAGTAGTGACTTAAGTCCCTTTTTCTAGGACGATGCGTTTTGACCTTTGACGTTCTGTTTTGTTATTTTGTTGTTGAACGTTTTATCTAAAAGAAAGAAAAAATGAATTATATGAGCTGGTCCTTTTCTCAAATTTTGCCATCACAAGGCCCATGATTTGTGGCCCATGGACTGTGAGAATCCAAAAGAAAGAGGGTAAATTGGTGATTAAGCCAATCAACTGAGGGTAACATAGTAATTGCGTGTCTAGACATCATCTCTTGTATATGGATAACACAGGTCCGAAATGGAGCCATTTACTCTACTTAGGGAGCAGAGAGAGAGAGAATCAGTGTGTAGAAATCGATGGCGACGATAGTGCAGTGTCTTTCTTCCTGTGCGAGTCTCGATTCCAAATTCAAGGCCCTTTCTCTCAAGGGATTTTCTTCTTCTTTCTCTTCGTCATCACCTTCTTCATCTTCTTCCTTCCCCACTCGTCGCGGTTCAGCTACTTTATGCTCCTCCTCCCTTAGCTTCTCTCAGAGCGTTTCACAATGCGTCGCCTTCTCCTCCGGTAAACACTACACCAGAGTCCTGAATTAGAATTCCTAGTCATGTCGAAATTATTGAGAGTTATCGCATTTTCTGTTGATTCGTGCTCTTATGTTTTCAATAGTGGCCAAATTTAAGGGTTTAGGGATTGAAATTTTGAGGATATGTATCGACAGGGAATTTGTGGGTACAGAAACCAGTGAGGCAATCGATTGTGTGTGAGGCTGCTCCGACGAAGAAAGCTGATTCAGCTGCAAAGAGAGCTCGCCAATCCGAGAAGAGGCGCGTCTACAACAAATCTAAGAAATCTGAAGCCCGAACCCGAATGAAGAAGGTAAACCTTTGCACTTTTGTCTCAAAATATGGACCAAATTTGTTCCTTTTTGAAAATTCTACCATCGGTTTGAATATAGGATTCAAGATTGTTGATAAACTTGCAATGCTCTTCCTCTGTAGTTTCAGCAATAAGTTAGGTGGAAACGGATTATGGAATGTTTCTACTTTTTGTAGCAAATTTTTTGTTCTTTCACATCTGTGTCCGATTTCAGAGGACTGAGATTAAAATACAATTGCGATATATAATACTAAACAGGTCTTGGAAGCACTCGAGGGGCTCAAGAAGAAACCAGATGCGCAACAGGATGAGATTGTAACCGTGGAGAAACTCATAGGAGAGGCTTATTCTGCAATCGACAAAGCGGTCAAGGTTAGAGCTCTACACAAGAACACTGGTGCTCGTAGGAAGTCTCGTTTAGCTCGGAGGAAAAAGGCCGTTGAGATCCACCACGGTTGGTACGTCCCAGACACAGCAGCAGCTGCACCAACAGAAGCTGTGTCCATGGCTGCATAAGAACATGGACATCGATTCGTTTTTGTTATAAGATCATATGTAAGAAGACTCAACTATGTTTCTTGGTGTATAATTCAGTCGATTTCAGCTTCTTCTCTTGTACTGTTGCTTTCTTCTTCTTTTGGCTTGGCCTTGCTCTGGTTTAGTAACATATCAGTTCTTGGCTCTGGCACCATTCCTCTTGACATCATTTCTTGATAACATCTCAACGCTTCTGCAACTTTACCCTTTGTGTGAAGACCATGAACCCTAACAGTATATGTTCTTTGATCTGGTCCTAATCCACTTCTCTCCATCTCACTCCATACCTCTCTCGCTCTCTCTTCATCGTCCCACTGCACATACAACCTGAACACCAAATTATACAAGTCACTTGTCATTTCACACCTGTTCCTCACCATCCTCGCCAAAACCGCCTCAGCATCCTTAGCCTTCTGCGAGTACTTAAGCAAGTAACCGAATGTCACGTCGTTAGGCGAACATTTACCACCTTTCTCTTCCATCTCTTCCACTAGCTCCCAGACTTTCTCTGTTCTTCTTATCTTGCAGAGATGCTTCAAAAGCGAATTATACGTCGCAACATTCGGAGAACAACCTCTCTCACTCATCTCCTTGAACACTTCAATAGCCTCTGGGATTCTCTTCTTGAAACACAACGCGTCAATAACATTATTGCAGATTTTGACATCCGGGTCTCTCCCAGTTTCCCACATTGCTCTGTACAGCTCCATGGCTTTCCCCAATTTCCCCTTCTTTGTCAACGCATTGATCATCGTCCCGTAGCTAACAACATCTGGCCTGCACTTAGAAGCAACGATATCTCTCCAAACCCGTTTGGCTTCATGAACATTTCCCAAAACACACCACCCGTTGAGAATGATGTTCATGGCTTTTATCTCGCACCCAAACTCTCTTCTACGAGAGCAGTGCAAGGTCTCCGCAAACTCAACGTGCTTATACCTACACAGCCACAACAAGAGCTTATGAAACGCGACCAAATCATCCTCTATACCAAACTCTCTCCTCCTCTCGTACACTTCCACGGCTTCATCTACTTTGTGTGCAGCAGCGTATCGATTTAGCAAAACTTCATAAGTCTTCTCATCAACGAGAAGAAGTCCGTCTCCTCTCTTAGACATTTCGTCGAACACTTGGTGGAACTCTTCAAAGCGCCGCATTTTCCCGAGAACATCGAGGATTTCGTTGTACACGGAGGAGCTAGAGAGATTGACAGATTGATTACGGATCAATCGGGAGAGTATGTGAGCTGGTTTCCAGTCAGATCGATTCCGATTAACCACTTCCAAAACCACCGCTTCCGTCAAAACTATCCCGCACTTGTCCAGAATCCGGTCAATTTCTTCTGGCAAACTTCCACGGTGGTTCTTTAAGATGTTATGAACGTCGGCGGCGGATTGCTTGTCTTGGTCGTCATTGGATCCGGTGAAAATTCTGTCGGGGGCTGCGAGGGAATGAAGAAAGTGAGCAGCTTTATTAACACCCAGAAAGCGAAATCCGTAGACGCCGCTGATGTTGTTGTTCTTATGATTCGGATTCTCCGGAGGAAAAACACGGCGAAGAGAGATCGAGGATGTGGAAGAAGAAATCCGGCGTCGCCATAGAGCACGTTGTAGCTGAAGTAAGATTTCAATTTTGTTTTTCCCTCCCATTTCCACGGAATGCTTGATCTGGGGAAGCACTACATAATAAGATATACGAATATATTGCAATTAACATTTGTTGGTAACTAATTCTTGCAATTAACATTATAAAATAGTTTTCTAAATTAACCAATTTAATATTTAAAATAGGTTTTTGTGAAAGAAAAAAACCTTGTAAATGTGGGTGCTGAAAAGCACACTCGAAATTTATAGGTTTTGTAAGGAAAAGAAACTTACGGAGATTTAGGGCTAGATTTTGATGTAAGACGAATGAATCGTAAGCAAGGATTTGGTTAAATGGATTTATATTAATCGAATGAAAGTGGTTACAAGAATTCTCAGAAGAGAGAATCTCAAAGAAAAATACAAGGTATAAATGATAGTAATTAGGTCTGAAATTATCACAAAGATGTCCCCTGATCCGACTGGCTTCCAGCTCCTTTTATAGCTCCAGAAGCTGCTACGATCCATCTCCGCGTATCTCGCCACGTGCAGCTAACGATCACGGTGATCTCGGACCAGACGGGATTTGAATGAGATCTTTTTTTACTTCGTCTTTCTTCGTTGTGCCGACCTGGTCTTTGATCGAACTGGAGCTCGTCTTTACGTCGACCGGAATAGCTCGGATGACAGTTAGCTGGGCTACGATGGAGTTGCTTGGTGGGCTCGAGATCTTCTTATTGGGCTTGAGTGGGTCTGGACTTCAATCTTGAATCAAGATAATAAGCTCTTACGCACTGGATTCTACATGTGGAATTTGGGTCCAACAGTAAACTAAATTATATTTACAAATCTAACCTTCAGTTTAGTTACGTGCAAACCCATGAATTCCGAAGTCATGCGCTAAACAAAACTAATTTATATAATCGATTTGGCAACACTAACTTTTTTACAAAAGATAAAACGGTGTGTTTTGTTTGATTTGCAGCACACAGTTTTCACTATATATAGAAAAACAAACACAAATTTCTAACATATGAAATCCCAATTGAAAAGACCCAAATCTATTTAGAATTATAATTTTTGCTTTTTCTGGAAAAAGAATAAAGTTGATCAGTCATTACACTCACTTTTTTTAGGGAAAATTTCAAAACTATATTTTAATGGTGTTTATTTTCAAATCTATGGTTTTTTTATTAAAGAAAATAAATATAAATCCAAAATTTAAATTCTAACTCTAAAAACAAACTTTAAACCTTTTAGTATAAAGTTTTAGGAATTTGTGAACCCAAACTTAGATATTAAATTTTGAAAATTAATATTGTAAATATGTAGTTTTGAAAATTGACACTCCAAAAGATATATTTCTTAAAGTTTCTCTTCTTTTTATACATCTTCACATTCTTCATTTTAAATACATGAGTAATGTCTTTGATTTATGATTCATGCTTTCATAAATTCTTATCCAATTGGTTAAATTAGAATTTCATTTCAAAAGTTTTGGGTTCTCAACTAATTTTCTGAGTTTGAATGGCATAAATTATGAAGTTGAAATACTTAAATTCTAAATATTTTCATGAATGTTCATCGCCATAAAGGTTGGAGATGACATAAAGCCTTTTTGCTTCATTGGCTCACCAAATATTCAATAAGTAAGTTTGTAGAGATTGAAACTACAAGCTCATGATCTCTATGTTTGGATTGAATATCTCAAATGAGTAAGGAGCCTCTTTTGATTTTGCTTATCATTTATAGTTTTTAATTTTTCAATAACTTTACAAAGAAGAGAGTTTGTAAGTTTAATTTGCACATATTAAAACGACGACAGTTAAATATGTAAAAGGAATACAGTATACAGGTTTTGATCACTTTTTGCACAAAACCTATTAAAATACCAAAACAAATATTTCTACACAACTTCTGGTGACAAATAAACTAAACTAAACTAAACTAGTGGTTTACCACAAGTATAAACGAAAGTAAACTTGTGATGTCATCCCACAACAGATGAGTTACTATCCCACAACAATTGGGCTCAAACCAACATTGTAATGTTCTGGTTATTACTCGCGACTGGGAATTTGGAACTGGGATGAGAATATTGAAAGCTATAGGTGTTCGTGTGTTTTTAGCTTACATTGGGGATGAGACTCTTGGATTTCATACTATGAAATTTGAACTCTGTCTTTTATTTTGCAATGGTTATAATATTTGGATTAAAAAAAAAAATACACTGGTTTATGTGGTCTATATACACTAACGTTATAAACTTAAAAATACTACAATGCCTAATAATGCATTATCTTTTTACATTATTAATGGGAAGAAAAATATAATATTTTTAAAATAAATGGTATTTTAGTTCTTATATCTAGCAGATTCTGTGGCCCAAGAAAACCCAATCCATTATCCATGGCGTGAAGACATATGTAGCTGTCGTTAAAGAAAAAACAAAGAAAAATCAATAAACCAAATTAATTAACTAAACTAATCGTAGTCACACGTCTCCTGCCGTCAATGTAATTACCGTCTTTTAGGAAACACGAGAAACAAAACAGACGGCGGGCCCACCGCCGTTAGAATCTCGGTTAGCCGACGCGGCCACCATTCTCTCTCCTTGTCTCCTCTCTCGATCATTCTCCACGCGTCGCGTTGACCACGTGGCACTATAGATCTTAAAGAACGATAACAACCTTTACTATTTTTTTTATTTATAATAACAAATAAATAAATAGATGAGTGCGTAGTGGGCCCATGTTTGTTTTTTTGGAGGAGGGGCGGCTATTTAGTTTTTTTTTTTTTTTGGAAAGAAAATAGAAAAGCAGTCAAACTCAACGTTGAATTAGAGCTGAGTCGAACAAAGTCACGCATAACGCTCTTTCACGCGATCGCCGTCGGCACGTGTTATCCGGTGAGTTTCACGCGCTTACATGTTAACGCGGTACCTGATCCGCGCGTCCTCGATGTGTTGCCACGTATTCACATTCTCGCGTCACCCAAACTCGTCTTTTTTTTTTTTCTCTCTACTTTTCAGGCGCCGCTGCTAATTTATTTTCCAAAATATTTGAACTTTACTCGTCTTTTTATCTCCGAGGTTATTATAGTGGCCATATCAGAGTGTATTCGACAGTGTTTCCAAGTTTTTTCTGATGACAATTGGCATTTATATGCACAAATATATGATATAAACTTAATACTCCATATATCACCATAACATTCATACCCAAAAAAATGCAATTGCCTACAAATTTAATTTTTTTTTAATCAATTCTGAACCGTTAGAAACTTATTTCATAAACTATCAAATCTAGATAAATATAAAATTGAGTAACTTTTTTTATTTACCAATATGACACATTTATTATGGAATTTGCCATATGACGAGGATATGCTTATTTATCTATGATTTTTGTGGTTTATTTTGAAATCTCAAAATTATAAGGTTTTTTCGAATGATGATTAAGATGTTAAAAATATTATGAAATTAGCAATAACTAAGATATGAGCATGGGCTTTTGCTCAACAATTGTAATATAGCACCCTTGCACATTGAGATTCACACGGAATTATCATTCATGGAGAGTGATGCCAAATAGATGGATTCTGGAAGGAGATAGAAAATCGAGTTAGATTGGTACAATTTCAACCTAGAATTTGGTTTCACACTAGTAGGGGCTAGTAATCTGCGGCGGAATTTAATCCTTTTACATATCGAATTAGAGGTATTAGTTTGGGTCATGCAAAGTATATTGATCTATAATAAATGACGAATAAATTTCAAATAAACTGTTCTGATTTGGTGAAGATGCTAAACCTGATGACTGACCGGCATTCAAGATTATTGTAGAAGAGATGGAAAAATGCAGGGGGAAGTTTCTGGAGTTCTCCTTAATCCACATCCCAAGGACAAAGAATTCAAAGGAGGACAAGCTAGTACGGAGTGCTCGAAATCTCCCTGACATGTAATATGTAAACTCTGTTTTATCGGTTGGATTTCCCAAACCGAGATAAGAACATAGGTTGTTGACAAAAAAAAAATTGTGTAACTTTTATATATCTTTGGAATACTGTTGTACATTTTTGTGAGGTGAAAAACCCATTTGAAACAATTTGAGACCTAATCGGTTAATCGTGCAAATTTAAACGCAACAACAGAATTACCTATTTTTTAGAGGAAAACAAGCTTTTAGATCATAAATCATGTGAGTAAGCGGCACAAATCGATTGAAATTAAGAAATCTGAAGAATCACATACATGTTAATAACAAAATTCTGATATCAGTTATACTAATCGGTTTATATTCTTCATTCCTTTGAGTAGAAAAAAAAACAAAAATCTAATCGGCCATTATGAGAATGCATTGTGTGAGCAAACAGCAAACTTCGGGGATCTCTCTTTGATTATATTTGAACCGTATATTCGATTTATTTTAGTAGAGAAAGTGTTTCAAACAACAAAAAAAATGGTTACACCTTAAAGATAGATAGATTGTAAAATAAAAGTATGACGTAAACTAGCATCTTTTTCTCTCTCTCTTTTTTTTTGTGGAAGCCCCTTAGCCTAATTGTTGAAGGGATTTAATGCTTCTACATTAGGAGGTCTGGGTTTCGAATCCTGGCGGATGCGATTTGCTAATAATTTATGCAGATTATTGGAGACAAGCTTACAGGAGGTCTACAGAATGGTGCACGTGAAGCCGTCGGTCGGCCGGGGAGCCTTTGAAGATGATAGAATCGTCCGTTGTAGAATTGTCTTGTAATAGTTCTCATATTTGTGTAATAGATTAATCAATCCAGCGTTAAAAAAAAAATAGCATCCACTATCAAAATTACGCGTTGTTAACCGGAGCTGAACCAAATGCCTAGTTAAATTTTTGGGGCATTGAATGTTTTACTCGTTTTGCTTTTTTTACTTTTAAATTAATAATCTATGTTTACTTGGATCTTTTGATTAAGAAAAAAATCATTATTTCATTAAATATTCTAATGCAAATTTTGTATTTTTACACAAAAATCTAATAGGTGATAAATATTTAATATTTATATAGAAAGATCTTAGAGGTATATATGACTAATAATAATTAATGTATTTAGATCCTTAAAATACAACTTTTTATATGAGTTTTAAAAAAAATGAAAATGCATGGTGGTAAAAATAAAACGAAAGGTTGATAAAAAAAACGAAATTATTGAAGGTGGAAACAGACACACGTGGCAGAGGATAAGTGGAGGTTAGAAAGAAAAACCACGAAAACCGCTATTGTTGTAAGAGAAGCCGCTAAAACCATTTCAGGCTTTGACTGTTCACAACAAAGCGCCCCAAAAGGAGCGTTGCTTTTACTCTCTCTCCATCTATATATAAACAAATACCTTCTCCTCCTCTTCCACCTTCAATTATCACACCAGTCTCTCTCTCTCACCTCTCTCTCTCTCTCTCCATCTCCGTTTTTTAGTTATGGTCAAGATGGGTTTGAAACCCGACCCGGCTACTCCTCACCCGACCCAGAATAATGCCAAGGAGATTCGTTACAGAGGCGTTAGGAAGCGTCCTTGGGGCCGTTACGCCGCCGAGATCCGAGATCCAGGGAAGAAAACTCGCGTCTGGCTTGGTACTTTCGATACAGCTGAGGAGGCGGCGCGTGCTTACGATGCGGCGGCGCGTGATTTTCGTGGAGCCAAGGCTAAGACTAATTTCCCGACTTTTCTCGAGCTGACTGAGAAGGTGCCTGTCGGCGGCGGCGGCGGCGGTTTCGCTCGCAGCCCTAGCGAGAGCAGCACGCTCGACTGCGCGTCTCCTCCGACGGCGGTTGCGACGGTGACGACTAATAACATTCCGCCTCAGCTCGAGCTTAGCCTCGGCGGCGGCGCGTGCTATCAAATCCCTATGGCGCGTCCTGTCTACTATTTGGACCTAATGGGAATCGGGAACGGTGGTCGTGGCCAGCCTCCGGTTACGTCGGCGTTTAGGTCGTCGGTTGTGCATGTGGCGACGAAGACGGCTTGTGCACAGAGCGACTCTGATTCGTCGTCAGTCGTCGATTTCGAAGGTGGGATGGAGAAGAGATCTCAGCCGTTAGATCTGGATCTAAACTTGCCTCCTCCATCGGAACAGGCTTGAGCTTTTGGGTGGTGTCGTTTCAATTCCGACGCGCATGCATTTTTTTTCTTTTTCTTTTTTTGGAGCTGAGAGAAATCGTTTTCTCGTAGTTTTTTTTCTCTCTCTCTCACTCTAAAATTATTATTATCAGTTTTTAGAAGACAAAAAGAAAATTAAAATCGAGAGAGGAAAATATAATTTTAGCTGACTATGGATCGTTATGTACATATTATTACATAACCGGAGATCTGAAACTTTTGTTGTGTGCTTCTACTTTCGTTTTTTTTTGCGACTTGGTTTCACCTTGTTGTTCCTCTGTTTCTTCTTTTTTTGTTGGTGTTGTTCTTCTTCCAAATTTTCAATTAATAATTTGGTAACCTTCAGAATTATGTTGTCTAATCTTATATTCTAATGTTCACTAATCACTATACACTACTTGTGTTCTTATCCGACGGCATCTTTTATTGGCCTTCCTTTTCGATCGTCAAAGGGCCTAAAATACTTTAATTTTCTTTCTTTTTTGCAGTGATACTGATTACTAAATATCCCACTCGCTTAAACAAAATTGAAAGTGAGATTATTATTTAGAAAAGGTTTGAGTACCGTCGGCTTTTTAACAATGGTCCAAGTTTCCAGCAGACACGCAGCCGGCGTCTGTGGGCCCGGGGCCCCCGTTTTTCTCTGCGGTGTATGTTAGAAAATTCTTCGCGAATACGTCACTAAGTAGGGTCCACATTCGAAGACTACGGACATACTCCTTTTCTTCTTTTTCTGAATATTAACACTCATCCACATTTAAATTTGATAAATCTAAAAGGTTACAAAACACTATCTAAAAAACGAAGACAAGACTAAACATAATTTCCCGATTTAATAAAAATGATTGACCCAATTAGTTTATCAACCAACTAGTATAGTTTAAGGAAGAAAAAAAAACTAGTATAGTGTTTTAGTTTTTTATTGTTTTGATCTTGTTTTATAAAGTCGTATCAAATATCAAAATCGCCATATGTGTTTCTAGATTGCTTTGTTTAAGAATTTTTTTCTTTCTTCCGTTGATTATTTTTTTGCGCAGAGACAAGATTTATTTGGAGAAAAAAATGATGGTGTGATGTATATAAGTAAGTGTAGCTGCAATTAGCTCTGGGCAAGGAGTGGATATCCGGAAATTATCTGTGATCCGTGATCCGTTCCGTGCTATCTGGATAGTTGATTTTGTGATCCGCTCCGATCCAAGAATTTCCAGATATCCGAAAATTCGGATATCCGTAAAAAAACAAAAATATTCGCGGATATCCGATCCGATCCATAAAATATTACAAAAAAAAACTAAAAAGATATATTAACTATAAATAATTGAAAATTAGATAGATATCCCTAAATATATTATTGTTTCATAAATTATAACATGTTTTAAAAAATAAGTTCTAAAACCGTAAATTAATTAACCACAACGGTACCACTAAACATATCATCGTTAACATTAAACATAATGCAAAAATAATTTTAAAGTTTTAAACATATTATTTGTTAACTTATTTTTATTTAGTCTCAATATTCTTATTTTAAGGTAAGCTATTGATACGTTATTAAACTTTTTTACTGTATAAATAAATAAGTGGATTGTATTTGTGAAGGCAAAATTTTTGTTAGATTTGTATGTTTCTAAAGACAAACCGAACAAATTTCTTACTGTAATATGTATATATATGTAGTTATTATAATATACAGATCGGATCGGATATTCGGTTTTTGAAAAATAATATTTGCTAATTGCTTTGATTTTAACGGATATTGAATTTTAGTAGTATTTGCTTTGCTTTGTATTGTTACGGTTATCTGAATTTTTCGGATCGAATCGAAGTGAATAGCGGATAATTTGCCCTGGCATGGCTGCAATGATATGTTGAGGAAAGAGTAATTATTGTAGTTTGAATGGGCAAACGACGACGTATAAGAGAAAAAAAGCAGCGGCTTCATAATGAGAGGCAGAGAAGAGAGGTTTGATTGGATTCTTGTCTCCAACTCCGCAATCAAAAAGGGTAAGAACCATCCCTTCGTGATTCGCGTGTAGATCCAACGGTTAGATTCTATTCTTTCTCCACGTGGACTGATCTCAATATTTCGTATTCTTTAATTATAGAAAAAAAAGGAGCGAGGCGGCACCGACGGCCAAGCAGCAACTCGAGTAATCCTTTTCAGAAAAGACCGAATCAGAGACGGTGGCGCCCACATTTTCCTCTTCCTTTAAAAAAATAATATATTTACATATTTTTTGTCGGCTTAAAATATACTCGGAGTATTTATATACGAAAACACGACTTTGTTAAATTTCAAAGTCATTGTCCTCTCAAAAGTATTATTAGCGAGTTATTTTCAGAACCCACTAATATTTTACCATACCATACAAACAGTCAGAAGATTGTATGTGCTTTTAAAGCTCTTTTTTTGTTGCTTTTTTAAGTTAAAAACTTAAAATGGTGTTCTCAGCTTTTTACAAAAGTGTATTTGAATTTGTTTCTTCTTTTATGTGATTTAAGAGTTATAGCTTATTGGGAAAAATGAGAGGCTGCTAAATTAAGAACCGGTTCAAATTCCGGTTTGGTCTGGTAACGTAAGCGAAAACCGGAATTAGACAGTAGAAGCCTATGGTTAAGCATCTGGCGCATGTGAAAGTGGCATGGGAGGTAAATTCCGTGTTGACGAGGTTTATGTCGGGATTCCGGGTTGTCTTCACGTGCATCTCCACCGTCCGATAAAGTTTGATGCTCACTGTCTTCTTTTCATATTAATTTAATTGTTTTTATTTTATTTATCACCTATCCATTTGTTTACGTGAAGGACTCCGTAAATTGAGGTATTTCTATCTTGCAGCTCATCTCATCATCTTGTTCCCTCTCCCAACCCTACTTCCACTATTTAAAAATTTCTGAATAATATTTAACTCTTAGATTTTATAAAATGTTATGCTTTATTTTATAAGAAAATTGCGGAGAAAGCTCCACATAAACTATACACAAAGATGTACGAATCAAGGAATAATAATATAGAGAATGAATAATACAGGTTCTTTGCAGATACGGCTATCAGGATCACAGTCACATATATAATTAAAGAATAGTAGTATCATCTAATACGTTTATATTTACTATTTAGAGTGGGAATAATTTAATTTAATTCAGAGGGACACGTGTGAAACAAGATTAGCTGCGGCGGCCGCTTTTTCTTGGTAGGACCCACGCGCTTCAAATTAAGGTCATCCAGAATCTCAAATCCAACCAACCAGATTTTTTCCCTCCCTTTTCTTCTCACCCAATGCGAGGTCGGCCGTTTATACCACACGTATATTACTTATTCATCCCATTTCTTTTGATCTGTTCGATTACGGCCCCTTCATTTACTAATATTAAATATTAACCCAACCACTTATGGAGAGCTGCATTAAAACCCTACACGCAAATTAATTACAGATCCAACAAGTACAGTTTCCAAATTAGTTTCAAAAGTAACATCAATCACTGGCATTTCATTAATTAAAGTTTCGAGAAGATATTTTTTCCCTAACTAGATTTTTAAGAAGAAAATTATAGGAATATTTGCATTCAATATAAGATCAATTTTAAATCGAAACTACCATTGTTCAATCCTACCATCCGCAAGGGTTATAAAATTTTGCACCTGAAAATTTAGATTTCGGGGAAATAATTTTGATAAGAAAGGTATTACCCAATGTGAAGCTGCCACGCACGGTGGCTTCACCTGGACACATGTTACCAAATATGGGGACAGGTGGCGCTGTGAAATGTTGTAACGTGACGGACAGTCACTATAGAAAAATAGTTGCGTCGGCCGAGTGACGCTGATATCATTCCCACGTGTGTCCGCGCGTGAAGTGGGTCCTGTTGGGGTCCAAGTGCTATGTGGCGCGGCGCGTGAGCCACGTGTAGGACTTTCTGTTTAGTAAAAAACACCTTATTGGAACTCTGCAACCAAACGAGGACCACTTATTCCATTTACGTATTTATTAGAGTATAATACACACACACTGTAAAGTGTAAACACACATTCGTCGTGTATCAAAAAACACATTTAATTTTATTTAGAAACAAAAATATATAGAGAAAAACTCGTAATCATCATCTGAATAGTTTTGAAAGTCACTGTCTATTACTCCTGAAAAAAACACATTTTTCACCCTGATTTGTAATCCATGATTTGTAATCCATAGAGGAAAAATTAGCATATTTCCTGAGCCCGTCATCATTAGTAAAATCACAAAGCCCAATCCGATTTTAGGCCTAACATCTTCAAGAAAAAGGCAAGACTTGAAGAGAAAGGCACAATCCATGGAGAAATGTAAATAAATCTTCATGCCGACTTAAAGAATGGAAGAAAGATCCAAAAACAAGAGGGATTTTCCATATCGCAAAAGAGGAAGTTTTCCATCTCGCCTGAAGGAGAATATTCATCATTCGGCCGACTTATCAACACTATATATTGAAGACCCCCCATTGGGGAGAGGGATCCGAAATCATCTAGAATCACTAGGCTTTCACATTAGCTTTTACTCTATCCTCTTGTTCATCACATAATCTCGCTAGGCTTGTTAGCGAGATTGCTCTCTTGTAATCTTCTTGATAATCTAAGAGTCGAATTAAGCGTTCCAGTTTCCTAAACTCACATCTTAGATAGCCCGTCTTGACGAGTGCTATCTCGGATTCAACAATTGGCGCCCACCGTGGGGCTGGAAACGCTTCTCGCTATTCATCTCGAAGATATCTAGATTTTCACGAACTAGCAACGATGGCGAACTCGAAAGAGAACACTCCCACCGGGAGCCCGTCTCCCTCAGAAGAAAACTTAAGCGACAGTCTACCAGCACGATAGACAAGTCGCTACCCGCTGAAGGTAGGGACAAGCCTGTCCCTACAAGAAACCCATCTTTCTCGCCACAGAGATCCGTCTCGCCGCGAAGATCGACTTCGCCGCAACGATCTCCTCCGCCAAGAAAGGACGAGAGCCCTCCTCCGTCCGCACCACGCCGCTCGAGAAAATCTTCCTCGAGCGACAAACCCCGCAGCTCGAAGAAATCCTCCTCGAGCGAGAAGATCCTCAAACTCATGGAGAATCTCGTCAAGCCACTCGCCGACGGTTTCGAGTCAATGCGAGCACAGCAGAAAAAGACTCAGGAACAGGTGGAAGCCCTAGCACGAGAAGACGATGAAAATCCGTCAAGTCCCACCGACGGAACAACCCCCCGTCCTGCGCACTTCAGGCGACTTACCACCAAGAGCTCGAACGGGTGAATCGTCGCCTCGACGAGGTCGATTCGAAAGTTCATCGCGCCACCAGCTCAGCTCCGGAATTGACGAAAGCACTCGCCGACACCCGAAGAAGCCCGCTCACCCGCAGGCTCCGCCAGATTGAGCTACACGAAAGAGTTCGACTCAAAATCGACTCTTACACCGGCGAAGAAGACCCCAAGAAGTGGCTAACCGCGTTCAACCTCGCCATGAGGAGGGAGAAATACAAATCTTACGATGAAAGGGAGGCCAACTACTGTCAAGTATTCGTCGAGCACATGGCGAAAGATGCCTTGACCTGGTTCTCTAACCTCCCCGCCGAGTCGATCGATAACTTCGACGACCTAACCAATGCTTTTCTGAAGCATTACTCCATGCACATGACCCGAATCACTCGGAACATGTTCACCACAACGCAAACCCAAGGCGAACCATTGCGCAGCTTTATGGAAAGGTTCAAACAAGCAGCTCGCGACACTGGCGACATGCCCGATAGCGTCCCGCTAGAAGCACTCCGCAACGGCCTCTGGTACGACTCCAAGTTCAAGGAGGATTTGTCACTAAAACCCCCTGCGACTCTGGAGGACGCGTTCCACCGCTCTCGGAACTACATCTTCCTCGAGGAAGACCAGCGCTTCTACGCCGAGAAACATGGAGATAGGAGGGCAACCTCGTCGAAACCCAGAGAGGAACCCATGGAGGCACGAAAAGACAATCCAAAAAGATCACTCCTAACGGCGTTCGCAGCAGCCGACAACAGCCCGAGCAGGAACCGCATCACATCAAGAAACGGGCAACAGATGTCGCGACGCCCGATCTCGACGACTCTGACACGTTTTGCCGCCTCCACGGAACCGGTGACCACTCTACAAGAAACTGCCGACGCCTAACTCGCGATCTCCTTCGGAGATACCAGCACGGGGAGCTACCACCGATAAAAGGGGACCGCTCTCGTCACAGACGAAAGCCGGCGCAACCCGTAATCCCGGAAAACACGCCGGATGACGTAACGAACTACTCCGACGAATCAGGGCAAGAGATTAACATGATAATGAGCAACCCCATCCATCGCGATTCCATCTCGACGATCACGAAGCATGAATACGCAGCGGTGGAGCACGATCGCAACCCGACCCGCGAAGAAATCCCCACTATCATCTTCACGGATCAAGATACGGCGGGGCTGGATACCCCTCACGTCGACCCACTCGTGGTCAGCTTGCACATCAGTGACTCCAGCGTAGCAAGAATCCTGATCGATACCGGGAGCACGGTGAATCTAATCTACAAAGAGACCCTCAACCGCATGGAAATCAGCAGAGACCAGATCAAGCGTTCGTTGTACTCCCTCACCGGGTTCACCTCCGAACACGTTCCAGTGAAGGCACGATCCGCCTACCTATCCACGTCGGCGGAACAACCAAAGCCGCCGAATTCTTCGTCATCGATAAACCAGCCATTTACAACGCCATTTTGGGCACCCCATGGCTCCACGAGATGAAGGCCGTCGTCTCGACCTTTCACCAATGTGTGAAATTCCCGCACAATCAGGAATTTACACACTGAGAGGGAATCAAGGGGGGCAAGGTCATGCTTCCTCTATGAGCGACGGCTCCGCCTAGCAGCAACATGCACCGCAAACGAGGAAATGGATCCACGCCTTCCATACCACCAGAGACCAAAGCCGGCCCTCGTCGACGAGGTGAACATCGACGAATCGCGTCCGGAAAGGTGCGTTGGCATCGGTGGCGACCTCGACGATGTGATAAAAGAGCAACTGGTCACATTGCTCAAACAGAACGTGCACCTTTTCGCATGGTCAATGGCAGATATGAAAGGGATCGACCCGGCAATCACATCCCACGAGCTAAACGTGGACTCTACCTACAAACCCATGAGACAGAAAAGACGCAAGCTCGGCGCCGATAAAGCTCAAGCAGTCAATGAAGAAGTGGAAAAGCTACTTAGAGCCGGATCGATCACTGAAGTAAAATACCCCGAATGGCTAGCAAATCCAGTCGTCGTCAAAAAGAAAAACGGAAAGTGGAGAGTCTGCGTCGATTTCACAGACCTGAATAAAGCATGCCCAAAGGATAGCTTCCCTTTACCGCATATCGATCGCCTCGTCGAGGCCACGGCAGGGAATGAATTACTATCCTTCATGGACGCCTTTTCAGGATACAATCAGATCTTCATGCATCCCGATGATCGCGAGAAGACGGCATTCATTACCGATCGTGGCACCTATTGCTATAAAGTGATGCCCTTCGGCCTGAAGAACGCCGGCGCCACTTATCAACGATTAGTGAACAAAATGTTCGCGGACCAGCTCGGTAGAAGCATGGAAGTCTATATCGACGACATGCTAGTCAAATCTGCCAAGGCGCACGATCACGTCAAGCACCTCAGCGAATGTTTCCGAATCTTAGAGAAGTACGGGATGAAGCTGAACCCCGCAAAATGCACATTCGCCGTTACCTCGGGAGAATTCCTCGGTATGTTGTGACCCAACGCGGGATAGAGGCAAACCCGAAGCAGATCTCGGCGATCCTCGACCTCCCATCGCCGACATCCTCCAAAGAAATCCAAAGACTCACCGGACGTATCGCCGCATTGAACAGATTCATCTCGCGCTCAACCGACAAGTGTCTCCCCTTCTACCAATTACTTCGATCAAACAAGAAGTTCGAGTGGGACAAAAAATGCGAAGACGCTTTCAAACAACTGAAAGAGTATCTCACACCCCACCAATTCTCGCAAAACCCGAAGAAGGCGAAACCCTACTCTTATATATCGCAATATCAAGCACGGCGGTAAGCGGAGTCCTCGTCCGAGAAGATCGAGGAGAGCAGCAGCCAGTCTTCTATGTCAGCAAAACCCTCAATGATGCCGAGACGCGATACCCAACCCTAGAAAAGTTGGCGCTCGCAGTAGTCATATCGGCACGAAAACTCAGGCCATATTTTCAATCACACTCCATCGTCGTCTTTACCAGCCAACCACTACGCCAAATCCTTCACGGCCCCAACCAATCCGGAAGAATGGCAAGATGGGCAATCGAACTATCGGAATACGATATTGAGTTCAAAAGCCGGACGAGCGCCAAGTCACAAGTCTAGCCGACTTCATCGTAGAAATCCCACCAGAGCTCGCAACTCAAGAGGACGAGCAAATCCTCAAATGGACACTGCATGTCGACGGATCGTCCTCCAGGCAAGGAGCAGGCGTCGGCATCCGCCTCGTCTCCCCGACAGGCGAGATTCTCGAGCAATCGATCAAACTCGGTTTCCCAGCGTCCAACAACGAAGCCGAATATGAAGCGATTATTGCCGGACTTCCGTCTCGCCGAAGCAGTCGGAGCAGAACACGTTCGTGCGTTCTGTGACTCTCAGCTCGTCGCTAAACAATTCAGCGGTGACTACGACACGAAAGACGATCGCATGGATGCGTATCTCAAACAAACGCAAAGACTTGCCAAAGCATTCAAGACGTTCGAGTTGACAAAGATCCCCCGTTCCGAGAATTCCGAAGCCGACGCACTCGCAGCCTTGGCGTCAAAAACCGAATCAGCACTGCGACGGGTCATCCCGGTCGAAACCATCGACGAACCAAGCATCAAACTCCCCAAGGGAACCGTCGTCATGGCAATCTCAAGAAGAAGAAGAAGACGAAAACCTCACTGATGACGAGTCAGCAGAACACAAATCATGGCAGGATGAAATCAGAAATTACCTCATCAACGACGCCGTGCCAGAGGAGCGATGGGCGGCCCGCCGCCTCCGACGAAAAGCAGCTTACTACTTCTTACGCAACAACGAGCTTTTTCGCTGGAGCGCAAACAAAGTCATCCTGCGATGCTGCGACGAAGCACAAGCTAAGAGCATCATGGTCGAGACCCACGAGGGAGCATCAGGAAACCACGCCGGCGGAAGATCACTCGCTTTAAAAATTAAGAAGATCGGATACTTCTGGCCAACGATGATCGGCGATTGCATAAACGTCGCCGCCAAATGCGTCCCCTGCCAAAGATACGCACCGGCGATCAACGCCCCAACGCAAGCACTTCAAGCTGCGATCCCGGCATATCCCTTTATGCGCTGGGGAATGGATATCGTCGGCCCCATGCCACGCTCACGGCAATGCGCTTACCTCTTGGTCGTCACCGACTACTTTACTAAGTGGGTAGAAGCAAAAGCGTACAAAAACCCAACGGCTCATGACGTAAGAAACTTTGTGTGGCAGTATATCATATGCCGTCACGGTCTTCCTTATGAGATCGTCACGGACAACGGAGGACAATTCGTCGCAGCAACTTTCCGAGAATTTTGCGCATCGTGGAACATCAAGATCACTTACTCCACGCCAAGATATCCTCAAGCTAATGGACAAGCCGAGTCCACAAACAAAACTATTGTTGATGGATTGAAAAAAAGGCTTGAAGGCTACCAAGGAGCTTGGGCGGACGAATTGGATGGAGTGCTCTGGTCGCATCGAACCACCCCAGAACCGCATCCGGGGAAACCCCATTCTCTTTGTCGCACGGTTGCGAAGCACTAGCACCGGCAGAACTGCACGTAGCCAGCTTACGACGATCGTTAATGCCCCTCAACCCGGCATTGAACGACGACTCACTCCTGCATAGTTTAGACCACGCCGAAGAGCTACGGGATCGCGCCCTCCTGCGTATGCAAAACTACCAACAACAAGCAACCAGATATTACGACAGGAAGGTGCGAAACCGGCGCTTCGAGCTCTACGACCTTGTATCTAAGAAGGTCCACGACTTTACCAAACCCGAGCACGCAGGCAAATTCGGGTTCCATTGGGAAGGACCGTTTCGCATCACCAAGATCATCAAACCCGGGGTCTACGAGCTGGACGATTGTCACGGAAACCCACTGCCTCGTCCATGGAACTCCATGAACCTACGCAGGTTCTACACCTAGACGCGTCGCACCGCACCAAAAAAAAAAAAAAAAACATGTCCATGACATGAACATTTGTAATGAACTACGATTGGCTTGATCCCGGCATGGGTACGTAGGCAGTCTTTCTCGATAAAGGCACACTATAAATTAATAAAAATAAATAGCTCTTTTATTTTTATGCAAGCACTTCTTATCGAACCTCTTCGGAAGGGTTCCCGTCTCGGCAAGGACCCAGAAGTAAACGACTTCTGCCCTCAACCGGTAACTGAGTTTCCTACCGAAGACATCGGCAACGCAAGCACCGCACGCAAAGCATAATTCCGAAATAACGCAACACACCGACGTTCTGGCCCAACGCTCGGATGCACTTAAACGCAGCACCCGTGGACTGATCACCCACAAAAGACGAGAGCAAGCACCTCGCACGGCTCTAAGCCATACGGGCAAGAAAAAACCGCTATCGTGTCACGCGTATCGGACTTAAAAGTCGTAGGCATAAATCGAGCCCCTAGACCTCGTCGCCAAAACATGTGATCTACCGAATCACAGCACCTCAGACCTAATACGCATCGGTCGGTGTCTCGAATGAGAGTCGTGACAGACTACGAAAGCTTCGAAGAACATCACGACGCATCCGCACCGTCAAACGAAAGCACTCGTTCGACACACTTGAGATTAACAAGCCATCTCGGCATAGGTAAGCCGTTTACCCGATGACGATCGAATAAACTAGCCTACCCCAACCGATTGAAGGCGCATTGTTTCTCATTAAAAGACATGGCCTAAAGCTGGGTTCTTTCATCGCGCTGTGAAATTATCAACTATGTCTAAGCCAATTTGTTTCGCCAACAAAGCAGCAAATAAAACACCACATAACATCCAAAACTAAACCCAAAGTTTAAGGATAAAAGCCCTCCCGGGCAATTGTCGCGATAAAAGCAACTGGGAAACTATCAAAAGAAAAAAAAGAAAGACAATTTCGACTTCCTCTCCGCCTACTTCGATTGACGACGCGATGGGGATCCCGGAAACGCCAGCTCAGCTAGGGTAGGCCTGAAAGTTCGATATATTGACCCATATTGATCAAAATTCCGTGGAACAATCCATGCGCTATCAAAGCAAAATTCAGCAAGACGAAAACGAAGATCTAACCTTAGGGCGGAGCATAGTCATCAGCTTCAACTTCGTCATCCTCAACCAAATCTCCGGCGGCCTTACTCTCCCGCAACCGGGCCGCAAGCATCTTCTCCACCGCATCAAAGTCCTGCTCGACCCCCTTTATTTTCCTGACATAGGAAAGAAGAGCCTCGTCGACTTGAATCCTAATCACCGCCTTCTCCACTGCATCCCGCTGACTGACGTATCTACCTATACGGTCCAACCTCGGAGTATACCAATTATGCATTGATTCGTACACCTGAGCAGCCGTCAACTCAGCCCACTTCGTCCGAGACTTGCGAAGACGAGCCATCTCGGCAATCGAGTTTTCCGTGTCCCGACAGGCTTTATCCTCCAGTTGCGTAATTTTGTCCCGAAGTTGATTATTTTCAACCTCAAGGCCAGACACCTTCGCAACCTCGCCTTTGAGAGCTTCTATCTTCTTTTCAAAAGCATCTTTTCTTCTCGAAACCTAACTGCAGCCGCATCACCATCAAAGTTATCAAACAAATCGGCTTTAATTTGATCAACTCCGCTCCGAGCACCCTTGAGCGTTCCGTCATAAAGTTGAATCAACGCAGCAAACTTCCCTCCGGCTCTAATAAGATTATTAGAAGCCTCATCGAAAGCACCCTTGAACTCAAGCTCACCACGCGGAACCCCCCAGCATGGCTTAGGTTTGCAACCCCAAACCATCTCTCCACTAAAGTCGCCATTATCCATTAAAGGAGCACCACCTTTCCACTTAAAGGAGACAGGCATCGGAGTCTATCCCGACGGAATCCGTCACCCCGTCACCTCCAGACTCCAGGATACTCATATCCCCGCCCTGACCAGTAGAAGCGCGACAGTCCGAGAAGAGAAATCGCCACTGGTGACACCCCCAAGAGACCCCAGTGACTGAGGAAGATCACCTAGCTCGCAGGAATCTGACCTCATCCGCTTGGATAAAGGATCAGAAATCAGGATATCATCATCCACCAAAGCCGGAGCCCTTTTCCTTAAGCCTGTCTTCCTAGCAACACCCGGCAACTTATCTGGAAGACATCAGGGAGCGCGATTTAAGAGCCGGACCAGGCGTAAAAATTCAAAGGCGATGATCAAACACTCACCAGGGAGAGGAATCGCTATAGCAATAGCCTTTCCTTTCTTTTCCTTCTTCTTCCTTTCGGTCTCGGCAAACGCATCCGCCCAAGTCTCTCTACTCAAGTCGCGTAAAGTTCTAAACTTCTCCTTTAGAGTAGTATTTACTTTCCTTGGGACAATCCTTCCTGCATATCAGATAATGGGGGCGTAAGTTAGCATACGAAGCAACCGCTAAAAATAAGGAAGAATTCACAACCACTTTACCCGGCTCCTGGACCCATTTTGTTAAGACGTGACTAGGATCGAAATCCCCGACCGAAGCACGGTCGACCTTGACAAAAAAGTAGTAGCGCGTCCAGTGATGAATCTTCGTTCGATGATCACCAAAAACGATGTCATGTTTCATCGATGTGTGGAAACGCTTGAAACCTCCTTCCTTAACCCCAGCACGAAGATCAGTTATACGCTCAAAGAGCTCCCTGTCTAGCTTCATCCCGGCTGCCTTCGCCAGAGCGGCCGAGAAGACCATATGCCGCACTACACCATGGGTCAGCTGACTCAACGCTACACCCCGCTCATACGCATACTCGAGAAGTAACGGGAGGACCGGAAAACGTATTCCAAACTCCGTGAGGAAGCATTCGTAGAGGCAAAACCATCCAGGTGGAGCGTCCATCGGCCTTTGGTCAGGTAAGGGAACGAGAATCTTGACCGCGTCACTGATTCCCACCCTCTCCCGCAAAGCGATGACTATATCTTCGGTCATCCCCGATTGACCATCCCGAGCCAGAGATCTTGACGATGATCTCCACGGCATCTCAATCTTTTGAGGGATACCATCGAGCCTAGCGCAATCAGGGACTTTCTCCTCACCGAGCTCAGGATCGGATCCCGTATCCTCGTGCGGAATCCCTCGCAAGAACGGTCGCCGCATTCCCCGTTTAGAACCTCGGATTCCCCTTTAACGGATGAGTTCATCGCCTTCGCCAAACCCACCGTCTCGCAAATCTCCTTGGGACACATTATGCTCAAGGGCCGACGTCGACATCGATGAACTGGTCTCGATTTGCACCATCGAAAGCGCGAAAGAATAAGGTAGAAGGAAGGAAATGCAGGTCAGGGCAGCAAAGGGATATTCGCTCTCCCTCGAAGGGCACTTGGTGAAATCGGTATCACGAAAAAGGAATAAGCACCCTTAGGAAATCCTAATCGTTTCCTTAAATAAGAATTCCACGATTCTTAGAAGAGAAGGCTTCTCCGAGACTTTTTCCTGTTCCCGCCCAAACGATTTCACCAAAAACTCGAACCAGATCATGGGCCGATTAAAACCCATTACTGATTTCTACGAAAGAAAGCATTTTTGGTCGCGGCAAAAATCATTCGAAGCAATTACTCATGAATTAGATGACGTCAACGTACTCTTTTTCCTTTTTATGGTTTTTGTCCCAATTGGGTTTTTCCGTACCAAGGTTTTAATGAGGCGGCACGAATCTACATTCAGCATGCACCTAGGCACTAAGATCCGATTGAAGTGATGTATTTTACTAATGATTCTCAAGCTCGTCCTCTATTCATGAAGCTCGCCGAGATCAAACTACATTTGACCTGCCGAGCTGGCGGGGGGACTTATTGTTAGAGGAGAAATTAGCACATTTCCCTGAGCCCGTCATCATTAGTAAAGTACAAAGCCCAATCCGATTTTAGGCCTAACATCTTCAAGAAAAAGGCAAGACTTGAAGAGAAAGGCACAATCCATGGAGAAATGTAAATAAATCTTCATGCCGACTTAAAGAATGGAAGAAAGATCCAAAAACAAGAGGGATTTTCCATATCGCAAAAGAGGAAGTTTTCCATCTCGCCTGAAGGAGAATATTCATCATTCGGCCGACTTATCAACACTATATATTGAAGACCCCCCCATGGGGAGAGGGATCCGAAATCATCTAGAATCACTAGGCTTTCACATTAGCTTTTACTCTATCCTCTTGTTCATCACCATAATCTCGCTAGGCTTGTTAGCGAGATTGCTCTCTTGTAACTTCTTGATAATCTAAGAGTCGAATTAAGCGTTCCAGTTTCCTAAACTCACATCTTAGATAGCCCGTCTTGACGATGCTATCTCAGATTCAACAGTCATTAAATTTTAAAACGAAGTAAGTTGGATTAATTTTGTTTCATATTTTATGGAAAAGGATTGTTTCCATCACCGTTAAAAACATCGTTAGGCCCGGCATATGAGTGTTTGGTGATGTGTCAGCTCAGCTGAACTGTCGTCTTCTTTTTTTCCATGAAACTTCGAGGAGACCTTATTGGTTTTCACACGTGTCCGTTTTGACATTTAAAACGACGTCGTCAACTCTTTTTATTCTTTATATAAATAGAAACTAGTAACCCTTTTGAACTTGTTATCGCCGCCTTTCACTCTGCTTAATTTTCTTTATATATAAAGTATTTATATACAAAACGTGACAGTCTAGTTTTTAGGTTTCAAAAAACAAAATCCAGAAGAAACAAAACATCTAAGAATTATCTTATTTATTTAGAGATTCACTCAGGTCTCGACTCTTTGATCATTTCTCGATGCGTGTGAATATATAAAATGTTCTTATACTACAGAGTACAGATGAAAAGCCCAACCAACATTAACGGTGACGCCGTGAAACCCAATAAGGGTGACGTGTCCGTTTTGATCATGTTCTAGTCTTCAACTAAAAGCCCAATCAACATTAAACCAAACAGACCCGGTGTATAATCTGAAAAGTTATAGATATCAATAATTCGAATGGCACGTTAGTACATCAACTTTGATATTCGAAATTTGTTAGCTTAGGCATGGATTCGCAATTAACACTCACCTTCCTCGTTATACATTCTAATAACACAAACTAGCACACATGTTATACATTCAACAACCTCCTCACTGCAAACACTAGAGTCTTTTAACACTTTTATTCACTAGTGCTTCTCTTTCTCCATATAGCTAAACCCTCCCCTTTAAAGGATAAACCCTGCAAACTATTTTCCAAAAACATGAATAAAGCAAACCGCAAATTCAGATCTGGTAAACCTGAGATAAATCTGATTTGGAAATGCCTTTTACTCAAAGCCAACAAAACCATAAGTTAAACTGTAATATATAGTATGCGATTAAGTCCAGAAAAAATCCGAGGAAGTGACAGCTGACCAAGAAAGAGTTTTCAACTAGTCCATGATTTTTCAACTAGTCTTCACTCTAGGATAGTGGATAGCATCATAGACAAAAATTTGAGACATCATCGTCACTAACTTTCTCCCGTTTGATCAGTCAGACAGCGAAAACATTCATCGATTACAATCTCACATTCTTCTACAGTTGACAATTAATCCAAATGGCCTGATAATTCAACCCGTACTATACTAGTATTTTCCAATGATTTCTTGTTTTGTTTTTTCTTGCAGTTTTCTTAAAAAAACAAAAAAAAACAATGGAAACCATTCATAGTCACACACTCACAGAAGCGGCCTGATTTATTATCCATTGAAGAATAACAACCTAGCCTAATGTTTTGAACACTAAAAGTCCAATTAATTTAAAAAACCCATTTAATTGCCCATGTAGCCTGTTTAAACCAAAGATGAATCAAAATACATCCATTTCTTTTTTTTCTTTCTTTTTTGAATTACTAGAAATTCTGGGCAGAAACCCGTACATTCCCCTAAGCTCGAAACCACATTATGTAATATTGGTTTCGTCCCAATCGGCATTCGATCCTGTGACTTCTAAGCTTTGCCTAGGATTCCTTTACTAGTTGAGCTATAGCCACTTGGTAAAATACATCCATTTGGGAATCAGAATCAAAGTCCAATTTGTATATTCTGAATCAAATTAACCATTTCTCGAAACAAGTACGAAGTAGAAACCAACCATAGTCTTGCTTGGCGGGTTTTTGTTTGTTTAAATAAAATGTTTTGAATGTTTATTATTTTATTTTGGGAAACTTTATTCTGTTTTATGCAGTTATTAATTTTTAATTTATTGAATGTTGTATTTCTTTTTCACCAAATCGGTAACCATTTCTATTGTAGACTACATTTGATTTCTCATTTTGTAATGTTTATACGGTATTCAATAGTCCAGCAAATGTAAAGATCTTCTACTACAAGTTATATTTTCTGTTTACTATGGGTTAAATATTCGAAATTTTGTAAACATTACAGAATAAAAAATCAAATGTAGCCATGTAGCAATTGTGCTTTCTCGTTGTCTTTTTTGGAGATTTAATACATGTAGCAAAGACCGAGTTACAACGAGTTACAACATTGGAAGAAGATGAGTATATAAACAGAAAACTGAATTAACAATTATGTTCATTTCCTTGTGTAAAAATTGCTAATCGATTTGAAAATCAATATAGCAAAGAGATAGTGAGCTTTTTTTTTTAAAAAAGACATTATTCTGGCGGTTGAATTTTGTTATGAATAGACCTCAAATTCCATTCAATAACCTCCAAAATACAATGTATATTAGCGATCTATAACGAGAATCGCTCTCAATACAAAATCTCACTCTCTCTCACTCATACAATTCTCTCTGTAATTGCATAACGGAAGGAGACGACTCTAAGGACTATTTATATTTCTATAAGCTATAACAGCAAACCCTCTCTGTCTCAGAGTATCTGCCCATCCTATCAAATTTCGATCAAATTCTGAAAAAAAAAGACATAATTTGAAAAAAATGACGGTGAAACCATATAGCAACTGCAAAACAAATCACACAGTTAAAGAAAAGAAGAGAAACTCACCAAACATAAGAGAGTTACTAAACGATTTCGATCTGATGAGAGATGGAGTGAGAGGAAGTATACGACACCGTAAAAAAATAAGTGAATTTGGTGAGTAGCATATTTTGAGCCTTTATTTAGGTGAGAAACAAATCCTAAAATGGCTATTAACATTCAGTCAAAAGATACCCAAAAATAGAGAGAGACAAAACGCGTCGAACAAAGGGAATGAATCGTGCAAGTGGGGGTAGTCTGAGCAGGGAATTCAATTGACGTGATTGTGGTCGCCTTACATAAGCCCACGTCAATGGGATTAAATTGAAGTAAATGCGAGCAACTTGCTTCGAAATGATTGATAGCGGTGAATTGATTACAGAAGATAACACAGATCTTGAATGCATGTACTGTTGTGGGCGGGAATGTGAATTGTTGGAGTGGTACACTAGGGTTTCTGCTTGCCTTTAAATAGCAGACCATAAGAACCCATTTCGAGCAGGAAACTAAAACCAGTAAAAACAAAGCAGTGAAACACGAAAATACGAGAAGTATCTAAACTACTTTGCAAACTTCTTGTGAAAGGTAGGTTCATCGAAATACCTTCTCTATCGTGTTATAATATCTATACAATGATATATTTCAGTTACTCTAACAACGGTAATGATGTTTGTGCATGATGCTGATTTACAAGGTGACAGTATGGTGTTCTTGCGGGAACTTATCAACGACTTCATAAGGGTGGAGCAGGGGTGGTGGACAAAAGACCCGAATGGTGTTTGGCGTTTCTTCGTGGCAGAGGACCGTCTAAGCAAAGGGATGAAGATAAAAGAAGGTGAATCCCTGCTCGCTACCAAGGAGAAGCTGCTGAAGGAGCTCCACATCGACTCTTTAACTGAGGACATCGAACTGACATACCAGATGCTGTCGTGGATGGATGTGGATGGTAGCGTCAAAACAGTACCGATTCACATCCGCACCAACGACGACCTGGATATGTTTCTCGCGATGAGGGTGGATCTCTGTGACCTGAAGCTTCTTGTCGTCCTAATGGCGAAAGAAATGACCCTTGACGTTGAAGACTTTCGTGTCGTGAAACCGACACACGGTTTTGCGTCGGCTGAGACGGTTCTTGGAAGCGAGTATGACCGCGAGAAAGGAATATTGGAGAACGAGGGTGCCGGCGAGCTCCTCATGCTGACGCAAAGAGCGCCAGATGTAGGCGAGAGTAGCAAGTCCCGTGATGCCTCCATAATGGCACTTGGACATGTAGATACACTTTTGGAACTCCATGTCAAAATAAACTCCAGCAACTCTATCCATGGATATTCTGCGAGTGTGTTTCCTGACAGCTCGCCGTCCGATGACGACGCCACGACCGACGGTACGACTCGCCTTACTAAGGACCTGTTTCCCATGTTTGAAAGCGAAGTCGCGGCGACGTAACCTGCAGTTGTAAAGCCGAACATGGAGTGTAAGACGGATGAGCAGTGGAAGGGCAAAGTTCCGATGCTATCTGAAGGTATAAAACTCTATAACATCCTATATAGTGTACTTTGACCATGTTATTCGCTTAACTGGCGACTGGGAACATAGGTTCAGGGCCAAGTGTTCCGTTGGAAGGGATCCCTGTTTCTCTTGGATCAACCGGTGAACTACTCGATGGGCTATTTATTAACATCCCGGATGGTGCTTTTAGCAGGGATGCGGCGCCGGTGGTGGACGACCCAGATACTGAAGGTCATTTCTATAAATCTATATTACATGAAATTCGATTGCAAATAGTTAGTTGTAGTGCTATGGTTTTATAGACACATATGCGCATATATGACAGACTAACTAATATATCTTTACTGTTACAAATCTATGTATAGAACCATAGCATCTGGTGAATTCACATTATATGCTTTGAGTATAACGTTTAATGTGCGCAATTGTGGACATGACAGCGAATGTGATTCACGATATCTCATACGAGGGAGATGACCTATTCGTAGGTGGGGTATTCAAAAACAAAGAGGACTCCAAAGTGAAAATCTCGGTCCATGCCATAAACTAGAAGTTCAGCTACTGGAACGAGCGCTCTAACAGAGATGTTGTTGTTTTCCGTTGCCTCTCGGACACATGTCCATTGAGGGTGTATGTTGCTCGCATGGAGGAGAGCAGCTACTTCCAAATTTGGACAGCCTCGCTGACTCATTCTTGCCCAGTTGAAATACGAGGCCAGTTCCACCGTCAAGCCACAACCTCTGTTATTTCAGAGATAATCCGTAGCCGTTATGTTGGTGCAACTTGAGGTCCAAATCCAGCTGCGGTACAACGAGCTATGCTCGATCACCACAGTGTCCGCGTTTCATACTGGAAGGCTTGGCGTGCACGTGAACTAGCTATGGACAGCGCAAAGGGCTCTACGGCAGCAAGCTATGGTCTGCTTCCAGCGTACTTACACTTACTAAATGTGTCAAACCCGGGAACAATAACGTCGATCGAGACGGAGGTGGACGAGGCAAAGCAAAACAGATTCAAGTTCTGTTTCGCTGTGTTCGGGGGTACTGTTCGCAGATTGCATTTTATGAGGAAGGTTATGGTCATAGACAGCACCCACCTACGGGAAAGATACTCATGCTGCCTCCTTACGGCTAGTGCCCAAAAAGGGAACTTCCAGATATATTCAATCGCCTTTGCCATTGTCGACAGTGAGAATGATAGAGCGTGGGAGTGGTTTTTCGGGCGGTTGAAGCAGGTAGTACCAGATGAGGAGTCTCTGACGTTCGTGTCAGAACGTCATTCTTCAATTTACGCAGGCTTGGGAAAGGTATGAATTTATTTGCTTCAGTACATTACTATATAGACGTCTATTATATTGTATTGATGTCTATATTGTAATATGCCCTCCATATGATTATCTATATGTGTATCATATTACGCATACATCTACATTGCTAGCTTAACATTTCCAAATTTGCAGATGTACCCGAAATCAAGCCACAGTGCGTGCATTGTGCATTTGCAGAGGAATGTCGCTGCCAAGTTTAAGCTCAGGGTTCTGGGACCAATGATTTCAAAAGCTGCACGGGCCTACAGAAAATCTGCGTTTTACGATGCCTTCACTGAAATAGAACTCGTCTCTCCTGGCTGCGCTGAATACTTGAGATCCATTGGGTTTCATCACTGGACATGTTCTCACTGTTACGGTGACCGCTACAACATCATGACTAGCAACGTGACGGAGTCGCTAATTAATGCGGTCCTGAAGGAGGCACGAGAGCACTTTGAAGTACATACAAAGCACTTTGAAGGCTTGGTTCACGAAGCGCCGAGATAGGGCGGCGAACCATTTATCTGCAGTAACTTCAACTGTTTTCGGACTGATTCATACAAACTTTGAAAAGTCAGCGGGATTCATGGTGGTGAAGGTGAACGAGCACAACTATGAAGTGAAAACACCAATGGGGATGTCATTCCATGTGGATCTCCAAATGAGGACATGCACCTGTGAGGAGTGGACCTTGATGAAGATTCCTTGCTCCCACGCGGTAGGAGCTCCCATCCGTGTGGACCTTCCTGTTCACACCCGTTGCGACCCAGCTTCTAGCACGTTTTACTGGAAACTCGCTTACCATGACAGCATCATTCCGGTTCCGGACCTGAGCAACTTGTACAGCGTGCCAGACGATATTGCGACCATGCAGATCCCGCCTCCTAAAACGCAGAGGCCACCAGGTAGGCCTAAGAGATCTAGATACCTATCTTCTGGAGAGGTTAAGGTATTTGTATAGAGACATACATATATATAGCACTTTATATATAGTGATAACTAATGTGAGCATTTTATTCAAGGAACTCAGAGACCGGAGAAGAAGCAGAGGCGGTAATGTACGCGCTACCATGGCACCAGGCATAACCGGGCATCATATGGCGAAAACATGACAATGTTATCCATGTAGTATAATAAGGTGTGAACCTTCATTTTATTATATGACAATCCACATAATAGTATGAAGTTCTAATTATTTCTTTAATACCAGGCTGTCAATTTTCCGATGTAATGGACAGCTCTACTCGGCGTTAAGTAATGACGGAATATAAATGAAGTGGCGAATATTGCATGCATCGTACTTGTGCCACATGTTTAATTAAAATCAAATGGCTACCTCGGTTGTAAAATATTAGAGCTACATGTTCGAAAGTATGAATCCTTAGTAAGTTGGTGTTGTAATGTTGCCTGCTTCTACAAGAGTCAGAGGACTAGACCTCTTATGTAAGGTGACCCTGTTGTTAATGTAAAATATTTTTATGTTATCTGAACCGCTACATATATACATAGATTTGCAAGACAAATTGTTTCCGTTAAGAAACTTCCGCTTACCGGAGAGATTATCCGTGAGTAAAGCGCATGAACAGTTCATGACAATAGTAGACATCTATAATAATTCGTAAATACATATAAGTATGTGTAGATTGCTAATTACAACAGAAGTAGTCCTTCACTTTGGTCTGGATTTTTCATCCAGAAGTCTTATAGTGGCCTCTGTTTGCATCATATACAATCGTAAGCTTGATTTGTGTCGTTACAAAATGTTGTCGATCTCTACAATATTGTATGAGGCCGTATACTTATTAACATGCTACCTTGGGTATGCATTGTCATATTATAATGTACCTGCAAACATTGAATTATATATTGATAGTTTGAATCAGAAATAACAAGCGATTAATATCAGAGTTAACAGCAAGTCCAAAACAATATTGAAAATGTTATTTCGGATGAAGTGCGCTGGGAAATGCGGCTTCCCATAAGACCATTAGTTTCAAGTAGCGCCAAAATACAAAAGTAGACATTTTACACCGAGTAATACGAGAAAGGTGAAACAGATCTAACTGTCAAACATCTTCAATGTCCCCACAGCAGAGCTCAAACATCTCGACGGCTAGTTTCTTGGCCCATTCACAAATCATGTCTTCAGATACGGAGTACACACTCGCAATTCCGCCAGATACATGAGACTCAACAAACATGAAAGACATCATGCCGGTGTGCCGTCTGTCCTCTACCTGGGCAACTTGTGTATCCTTGGAAAAGGTGAGAGCTGTAAGTTTGAAGGTCTCCATAGCCTCACAAGATGCGGCCTTCCGTATAAGGTATGGTAGCATCTCGCAGATGAAATCAAATTCAGGCTTCAGACGAGATACGCGAACAGCGTCAGCATGTGGGTGGGTCACACACGGTCAAAGATGACGACGACATATCAACAATGACGGCAACCCAGCGATTCTTGTCCAGGTTGAAAGGCAAATAGCTGAGAACATCATCCAACATATTCAATTGTTGGAAAATGTAAACAACCAACCACAAAAAATAATGCCTGTCCACTAATTTTCATAACCGATCTACAATAAAATTCAGTGACATCTCCTAATTTGGATTTTCATATATCTCGGTGGGGCTTCATATTTCCGATTATGACCGACAGATTTTCACAGTTTCCAGTTAATTTAAAACTCAGATTTGAAACTTAAGAGCGGCATAACATTCCATAGTAGGACTAATTGCGAAATCTATCTATTAGAGCAAGTCCTAAACAGAGGAAGAGATCGAAAAGACAGGCTAAAAGACATCGACAAAATCTTCTATTTTCTAAAAGAACAGTAGCTACATAGTTACTCACATTCCGAAGTCGGAGAACGTCACCGCGATTATATGTGGAGTTATCTACGAAGTCGGTTCTTCAGATCTGTTTCTTCTGTACTGCAGCGGTGGATCTGTTTCGCGAGCTGTGGATTACCGTGCGGCACCTAGGGTTTTCACATGTTCATAGGTCTCTACCGGAATCGCAAAAGACTTGGACTGCAAAGTAAAGGTCCAATGGCTATTTTCGTTGTGTGAAATAAATTTTGAGTAAATTTTTAAATGTTCACACCGTTCCTACGCGTGAAATAACCTATCCCATTAACTGCAAGACGACAAACAACCGCTTCGGATACAAGAGACGTGTGGGGTTAGAGTGGGGATAAACGGGTGCAAAATATTTACATGTGTCAAACCCAATAACCCTATTTGTTAAATATTTAATTATGTCAATTCTTATGGCTCTTGGGTGCAATTACTCAAAAAAGAACTTAGGCATGAGCGGGTAAACGGCGTTGTTTTGGAGGGAGACGGAAGTGGGATGAAGGATTACCTTCGGGAGAGGTGGGATAGGTGGAAATGCACGCGACAAAACGACTTTGTTTTGAGAGGGATGAGTAGAAACGGCGTCGTTTTGGCGCAAGTCGGGAGCGGAAAAAACGGTACTGTTTTACGGAAAGATGAGGCGGGTTTAATAATAAATGAAGGGATAATGTGGCACTCTCTGGGGGTACTGAAATGTTATCAATTGGAGAGTTTCACAAGATTTATAATAATAGCATATTGTTCATTGATACTTTTAAAAAGAAACTATGCTCAAGAAAAAAATCCATCTGTTGAATATTAGTTACTAGGTGGTTGTCCCGCACCTTGTGCGGGTACAATATTTTTTAAACACATTAATTAATTAAAGATTTTAATAATATAAGTAGTAGAAATTTTGATTGTATTCATCTTTTTGTGTTGCCGATTTCTAATTTTTGTAATCATGATGTGTCTTATTTTTTTCTTCTCTTTCTCATTCTTTTACATAATTAATATGCAAAAAAATTTCCACTTCTTGTTTTCTCCTCCCACTTATTCTTCTCCAATTATCCCATCTTCTTCTTTTCTTTTAAGTTTATATTCGTTCTCATCATCTTTTTCTTCTTCCAATTTTTGTTCTTTAATCTTTTCTTTTATCTTCATATTCTACAACTCACTAGTTTTTTTTTGCTTTCTAAATTTCTTAACAAACTTTCTTGGGTTTTCTTCTTACTCAATCCTTCTCTCTTATCTTTACATATTTATCTTCTCTAACATCATATTATTGTAGTTTTTATTTATCTATTCTTTATTTTTTTTTTCTCCTCACATTCCATTTTTCTTCTTTGATTTCTATTTCCTCATGTTCGACTTTTATTCTTCTCTAAATTTTCCATCTTCTTTTTTACTGTCTTCTTTTCTTTTACTCTTGTTTTTATTTGTTCTTGTCTACATCTTGTATTTCACCTATCAATTCATTCCACTGTTTAGATTTTCAAGGATTTGTGAAATAGTTTCTATCTTTATTTAGTCTAGATCTTTTAAAAATCTATGGTTTTGCTATTTTTTTATTCTGGATTTGCTTTAACTGTTTTAATTTTTTTCCATTTGTGAATGTAATTTATAAAGGTAGATATAAATTTATAGCCCATAATAATTCAAATTTTTAAAAATGCACCAAAAACTAAACCCTACACCCACCAATATAAACCCTACACCCTAAATTCAAACCCCAGAGTGTAACACCACCACCCACCCCCACCAATCTAAGCAACCCTACCCAGTAAACCCAAACCCACATTGTAATTCTTCTCATATTTCTTCTTCTTCATCTCCTCATACATTTTTGTTATTTTTTATTTTAATTTTTAGTTTTTTTTTTCTATTTGTGAATGTATTTTTGTTTGGTAGATATAAATTTAAAATAAATGATTTTTAATTTAATATATTTCCATTCTATTATCCAAAATTTTAAAAATGCACCAAAAACTAAACCCTACACCCATTAATATAAACCCTACACCCTAAACCCAAACCCTACATTATACCCCCTAAACAACCCTACACCCTAAACCCAAACCCACATTATAACCCCCCCTCTAAACCTAACCCCCACATTATAACCTAAACCCTAACCCCCACATTATAAAACCCTACTAAACTGTACACCCTAAGTGACCCACGATCACTAAGTGGCTAGATCAACCTTAACCCCCACATTATAACCTAAAACCTAACCCCCACATTATAAAACCCCACTAAACTGTACACCCTAACCTCACATAACAAACTTGTTTTGTATTGGCTTTTATTGTTTTGGTTTTACACTCTAAACCCTAACACAAAATTATAACCCTCTTAAATAGTACACTCTAATCCCACATTACAAATTTGTTTAGGATTTTCTTTTATAAATTTAGGTTTTTTTAAAAAGTGTTGTTATTTTTGTTTTAAATTGACAATGTTAATTCTAGATTAATAAGAAAAAAACGTATAATATATATTTTCAATGGTCGTATTATGAATTTGATTCTTCCAGTCTTTATTTTTGGTCTTCTTTCTGTTCTTTTGCAACTTATTCTCTTTTTATATTTATATTCTTTAGTTTGTTTTTCTTTATGTGACTTCTCATTCTTCCTATTATTTGTCTTTTTCATCTCTTTTAACTTTTTTTTTTCTTTTTCCAGTTTTTCTATCGTGTTTACTCAGTAGGAATTTGTTACTCTTTTTGTCATAGTTCATGTTCTTGATTGATCTACATTAAAATGCTGTAACTAAGAAGTTGTTCCAATATCTTTCAGCTCATTTGTTTCTTGTGGTCTCCTCAGTTTTTCTATACGCACATAATCTTGTCATCCCATATGATCTTTTAATAAATTATTCCATGTTACTTTAATACTATTATAGTCTCAATTGTACTTCTTCTTTTGGTTAAAAACTAAAGTCTCCCTCTTTACAGCAATAAACCAAAATCAACTAAGAAACTGGAGAAGATGAAATCATTTCCACATTGAAGAGAAGATGATAAGTACAAAAGCCAAAAGAGTTTCAGAAAATCAATCATATGATAGAAGGAGCCTATTAAGAGCATCGTTTTCTTATTCCCATCACTTTATTGCCAACGTATGACTCTTGTCTCGATGCAAACCCGACAGATACCACCTATTAAGACCGAGATAACATATGAATACAGTAATAGATTATTATCACTGTATTTCCTGTTTAGTGATAAGCCTGCTATGTTAACCATTCCCTGTTTCTTCTAGACCGTGCAAAATCTAAAAAATAAGCTCAGTACATAACATATTTGTTTGAAAGCCAAAAAAGAAGTAATCTACTGTTAATAACATAATGTAAGATTTGGAAAAGCAACATTTTCTACAAAATTTACATAAGTCAAGATAGGGAACTGATTTCTCTTTAGTTATTCCAGATGCTATGGGTGTGGTTGAGGGAAAGAGCTTATTTCTATGTAAGAAACCATTTCATTATTAGAAGAAAAATCAACTCATTCTCATGATACATACACCTCAGTACCTCACTTCTCAAGAGGGAGCAGGTTGTGAGAAGCAATGCTACATCGTTTGTGGATCGTAGCTAATAGAACCATATCTCTGGGCACCAGCATGGAGACCTGGATGAGTTTACGTCGTGATGCAGTGACAAAATATAGCAAACATATCACTGTGTTCCGGTTTACAGTAGTCACGTCGTTACCTTTCATCTCACGCAAAATCTCCGTGATCATTTATCGCGATCTTTTAGTGCATTACAGAGAGACACCATCACTTTGTAAGATACATGTTTGGAGTGATAGCTTTTGGAGGAGCGGAAGGCAAGTGAGAAAACCATTTATGATACTGCAAGTTATTTTTTCCTTGAAAAGTTAGTAACAACTGTTAGGCATCATCCTAAAGGAAACAATACAAACAAATTACAGGAACAGTCAAGAGTATAAGTCATTATCACCATCACAAGGAAGATTTTAACCTGGTCAGCATCACAAGTAACATTTAAAACCAAAGCTGATTTTCATCTTCAAATTTGCAGATTGCTACAATCGTGTCTTAACAAAATTCACTCTTCCTGCACTCCATGATACACAACCTCACCGAGAATTCCTAAAACACATGATCGTGGATAGTACGAAGATGTTGAATATATATAGGGCAAAGAAAGAGAGGAGTTGATCGGAGAACATTTATGAGCATGTTGGTATAGACGTGTACATTGGAGAACTCACGTACCTCTCAAGCATGCATGCCCAATATTTTAAGAAAAATATCCCTGCGAGGTTTAACAAAGAGATAAAGAGAGAGTACTTGCGACTAATAAGGATTAACTAAAACCAAAACAGAGCAAAAATATTCAAATAACGTGAGTTCTAGGATTCAAGATGAAGAGAAACTTGTCTAGAGAACCAATTGATTAGACTATATATTCTTACGAAAGTAAGTCTTCGCCAAGGAAAGAAGAAGAGATGATAATTAATCCTAGTCTT